GCACCTGCTACGATTTCGAGCAATTGCTCGCAATTATCGAAATTCACTCGTCGCTTTCGGGGTTTCTGCGAAGCTGCGCTTGTCTAAATGGCAAAGATTTCTTTCACGCATTCGTGACATTTTAAAAACACCTGCGGCGCATCCCGTGATAACCATTGAACGCGACGAGAAACATTTCATCTTTGACCATAAATTTCGCCCGAAGGATGTGTTCTATCGCATTTCTCTAGACGCGACTATCTATCTCAATTAAATTTTAAACGGCGTAAATTCAACTCGAATCGATTCGCCGGAACTCAACGTTATAGTTACGTATATATATATATATATACGAAGGGCGAGAAAGACGGGGCGACAGATCGCCCCGAGTGTCAAGTGTCGTCGTGTCTATAGGGAAGGAGTAAACGGTGGTGATAAAAGGTGTAGTATGGTGGTGCGCACTATGGAAATAATCGTTATATACTCCCTCGACGTCGATCAAGCCGACGGATTACGCATGTCCTGGCAGCTGCGCATCCTTCCTGGGCGTTCCAAAGAGGCCGCCAATCGGTGAAACCCTCTAATACCATCCATCCGGCGGGGTTGACCAATGACAGGGCCGGGGTGTATCAGCGAGGGTGTCATCGGGCCACTCAGACTCGCGCGATACTATCATCCCGTCGTTAAGAGAGCGAAGGGGTGACGCGAGACCATCCCGGGGCTTCGATCAGGGGTTGAAGGACGGAGGGTGGGTTAGGTGCACGTTGCTCATCGATCCTACGACTCTGGGAAATCGACGCTGCTTCAGGCACTCGCGCGCGGCTTCGACCGGAATTCGATATCTGACGGACGGGGTAAGTAAGTGGAAGAGGGCGGACGTAACAATTTAATCCAGCCGCCAGCCATATCGTCGTTGATGTACGAATATAGTGGCGCGATATCGACGAAAAATGGCAAGAATTAATCAAGGCTGTAATAATTTTTTAGATATGCGACCATGGGCATTTGCTCCCACCCTCTTGGAATCAGTTTACAAAATTAAACGACGATAAAATTAATGAAGTCGCCAGTGATGAGTAAAAGTATACAAATTTATTGAAATTTCGACACAATAAAAATATACAGTGATTAAGATATGAAACAATAATTTATAAAGTTGTTCACGAAGAAATTTAAAATAATATAAAAATAAGGGAATGTACCTTTCAAGATGTTGATTCGACCAAAATTAAACATTCGCTCGCCTCGTGATACTAAATACTTGAATTTACTTGGAATTTTATTTAATATCAAAATATTTAAAATAATGTAAAAATTGAATTTTTAAAATTAAGAAGAATAATATAAGAAACAAGCAATTTTAATTATGTCCCTCCCTGGGAAAAATCTTGCGACCCGAACGTATCTCGTGTCTTTGAAGGGAAAAATCATTAGCATCTGGGAAAGAAGATGCTTAAACATTTCGTCTTCGAGAATAACATCTACCTGCTCCGTCGCAATATCCTCTTAGAAAAATGGTAGATGCACCTTGCGCACAATTTTTTTTTTTTTTTTTTTCGAAGATTCCTTATATTCTCATCGTCGTCTCTTCATAAATTACAATTTCATCCATGAGATTAATATTTGATCGAGGTGCCGCAGCCGTGAAATCTGCGGTGTCTTATATAGACCGTAAGAAAAAGATTTCTCTCTCTAGGTCAACGAAAGAGAAGGGACGCGTTCCTAATATCTTTGGAATCTTTGGATCTTTGATGGATCGATAGTAAGCGGCAGCTGCATATTTTAGACGAGATCATCATCATCGAGAAAACGAAAGAAACGAAAAACTTATCTCTTATTCATTATTTTTTTATCTTCGATAAAATATATCACTGAATAAAATACATCGATCAAGATTGTGTGTCGCAAAGTTACACACGAATTTGAATAATGAAAAAAATATCGGTATTTACAATGTAAAATAGCGAAAAATAGCGGTCTCTGAAATATTGAATAATTTCGCCGGTGGCGAAAAGCGAAATTCAGTCAGATAAGCGAAGGGGATGCATGAGGGTTGGAAATGCCTCACCTGTCCTGGACGGCCACAGGACATGTTCAAGGATCATCGGTGCCTTCCTCCTTGAAGTATTCCGCGCGACGACCATAAATTAATTTGTCGTAATGATCCGATCTTCTCCTCGTTAAGGGGGTTGTCCCTCGCCGCTATTACGTCGAATCTGATAAGGTAACGTAATTTCGTATCCTAGTTTCCGTCCTGTCGTGGTTACCTGCGGCGAAGGCAATAATAATCGTCCGAAATTTCGTCGTCCTCTTTCCGTTTTTTATAACGGCTTCCGTGCAGGACAAATAAAGGGGCGATTCACACGAGATCTTGACGTGAACTCTGCTTGCACGATAAACAAAAATTTACATAATCGGTATATTAATTTTGATAGAATTGATTTCTTTTTCGCGACGTGTTTTTTTTTTTTTTTAAGAATCAAAGTTAAAAATAGATAAAATGGTGGTGAAATAGAGAGAGAGGGATATTATCGAGAATTCGGCGACGTAACATTTGAATCAACGGATCGGAAACACACAGGGATGGTTGTGGGCGATGATCCGTGAAGAAGCGCAACCTGCGTCGTCGTCGAGGGAGAAGAGGACATCCTGATGTGTATACAAGAGTCTACAATCGGGGGGTACAAAATCACTCCACGGGGAGTCGTTACAGGAACCGAACACGGTGGTTACCCTCGTGTTTATTTTGTCGTTCGACACTCTATATATTAACCGAAGCTCTATACGCGAAACGCTAAATCATCCCTCGGAAATTAATTCGTTCCGTCGAGATATTATATATCTGGATTCGGCTTTGTTTATCTCTCTGCGAAGACCGATATTTCTCAAAACCGAACGTGCGTTACGTTTGTTACGTAAATAACGTGATCTACATAGGGAACAACAGCAGAGAAACGAGAGCAGGAGGACGAGAGAGAATAAGCATCACGCGAATACCGGCTCCAAACTAATATTTCGCGCGATGTATACCTGCAAATTATCATTTTTCTCGGCTCGATGAAACCTTTTCGAATCCGTTCATCGGCGAAACCTTCGCGTCCTTCGTGATCGATGTAGGATTCCGAGAGGCCGAACGTATCGAACCCGGGCATTTCGCGGATCGCCCGGCATTTCGAGGCAAATCGTTTGTGCAAAACGACGGCGCTGAGACTCTCGCACGAGACAAGGGTTTTTCAAGCGTATAATTGTCGAGAAAGAGAGAGTGAGAGAGAGAGAGAGAGAGACACGCCTCTTGCGTAAGAACTCAGCCAAGGACTGAGACGCAGATTGCGACCGCGCGAAGCGATCACGTACTTTTGATTCTTCGTGGAACTCATCGGGACTACCGATTGTACAGATTCTCGCGTGTCTGGACGATTACGTCTTCAAAGGGATTGCGAGTATTACACAACCGTCTCTCGCTTCTTGCAAACTCTTTCGCGTGTTTTTTTTTTTTTTTTTTTTTTTTGCGAACGAGAGACAAAGGACCGCACTAAACGCTCCGCCGTCCGCCCCTAAGTGTCCTATTGACATTGAACGTCACCCTTACGTTCGTTGGGTCAAGAATTTAGGCCCGAACGCACACACGGATGTCGAATTTTAAAATATCGCGAAGAAAGAAATACCAAATGTGTGTCAAAATTTTGAACGCGTATATACACGGAGAATTTTCTCTTAGAATTTTAGAGCGCCTTTTTTCGATTATTGCACACGTTAAAGCTTGGAAAGAACTACAGAGATGAGAATATTATTAGATGTTGAATTTTAAAATATCGCGAAGAAAGAAATACCAAATGTGTGTCTCTATTTTGAACGCGTATATACACGGAGAATTTTCTCTTGGAATTTTAGAGCGCCTTTTTCCGATTATTGCACACGTTAAAGCTTGGAAAGAACTACAGAGATGAGAATATTATTAGATGTTGAATTTTAAAATATCGCGAAGAAAGAAATACCAAATGTGTGTCAAAATTTTGAACGCGTATATACACGGAGAATTTTCTCTTGGAATTTTAGAGCGCCTTTTTTCGATTATTGCACGTTAAAGCTTGGAAATAACTACAGAGATGAGAATATTATTATCCTGCAGGATACACACAATGTAATTATAAAAATAATATAATATAATTACAAAAACATATATACAAAATTCAGGTGTCTTTTCTGTTCGATCTCTGTAAACGATTTAAAGAAAGGAGGACTGAAACGTTTAAAATAATTCGAGAAGAATTTAAATACAATTTTGCGGTAGCTAATGTTTGTATCTAGTTTTTCTTGGCTCTTTTTATATCTGATTTTTTTTTACCCGGAAAATCGTGGTAATCGTGGGACAATATGGTATTGGAATAATTTTATAACACATTAAAAAATATTAATATCTACCACAATAAGATTTAAAATATATTCGAATAATTGTAGTAAAATTTACTATGTACATATTAATATTTTTTATTGTGGGAAATATTAATCAGAGAAACTCCAATAGAATTTTTACCATGATTTTCAAGATAAATTAAGAAAATTCTGTGTGTCTCTTTTTGATAGAACGCGTATACACACGGAGATTTTTTTCTTAGAATTTACCCGGAAAATCGTGGTAATTGTGGGACAATATGGTATTTTGAGAATTATAACATAAAAAATATTAATATTGTATGTACGTATTAATATTTTTTATTGTGGGAAATATTAATCAAAGAAACTCCAATAAAATTCTTACCACGATTTTCAGGATAAATTCTAAAAAAAAATTCGCGTTTATCGAATATAATCATACGATTTATATATATGAATGAAAAAAAGGATGAACGTGAGTGACATAATTATTCTCTCTTCCATTTTAAAATAATATAAATGGAGTCTTATCTGTACGTAAGAAATTCAGTCTCAATATCATTCGACTCATGTTTGATTAATTTCACTATTACACATATTATATATTTCATGAATTCTACCATGATTTTCAGAATAAATCTTAAATGGAAATTCTCTCCGTGTACAAACAATTAATTCATTACATTTGCGTTAAAAACTCGCGCATTGTATCCAAGTGCAGCTTGAGTGCAACTGATGCATTCGCATATGCGTCACAGTGGAAAAGTTTCCAAAGCATTGAAGAAAACTGGACGTAACACGCACAGCGAAAATGAAGTAATTGTCACGTACAACTCGCGAGTATACAATAGCGTTGCGAGAAAATTACAGCTGATTTAAATGAGAAACAGCGAGCACGCTTGCAAAAAAAAGAAGGATAAACGTTGCGCGCGAGACAATATACCGGAAAGACATATTTTACTTATTCTTGTACACATATAAATGTCTTTAATCAATTCTCATGAAAATAAACGAAATACGCAGTCTTTTGCGAAAACCCTTTAATCACACATCTATGATACGTGATGGAACCAATCTCCGAGAGCAAACTACCCCTCGCACGCGTGCGCGGTGCACAAAAGGGAAGGAGCTAGAGAAAGAGAGAAGACGAAGGAAGCAGAAACTCTTCGGAGAAGCTTCGACGAGGCGAAGGCAAGGTAAAAGTAACAGTAGAAGAGAGAACGCCCACCCCCGGGGCTGTCTTCTCTTTCCCTCTCGTCGAGCGAGTCAACCCCTCCAATCTTGCCTTTCTCTCTCTCTCTCTCTCTCTCTTTCTCTATCCATCTTTTGGCGGGGGCACGCTCCATCCGTGGGCACAACCCGGGCCACGAGTCACAGGCCACGCGGACCTGCCCGATGCAACATCCAGCACGCGACGACACGCTACCGTCACCTTCTGTCTGCCCCCCCTTTCTCGTTCTCTCCCTCTCGGTTCGTTTCTCAGTCCCTCTCTCTTTCTCTCTTTCGTTCATTCTCTTTCCATCTTCCTCGTCGTCGCGTATATACACACACGACGCGTACGACCGAGCCAGGAGTAGACACGAGTACAGGCGGTGGCAAGAGGGTACGGGGGACCTGACCGAAAGCAAAGCCCGTAACCCCCGTTTGCGGGCCGAGCCCACTTCAGACACGCCGTGTCCTCCGCGTGGTCCACATCATCCCGTCCTGACCGCTTCTGTCTCTCTCGCTCGCGCGCGCGCGCACGCACGCACGCCCGCGTATATCTCTCGCGCCCTTGCCGTATTCCGCTCGTCTGTGCCCGTCCACACAGTTCTCCCTCTTACCGCTGACGTACGTCCTTCTCCTCGCGAGCGCGTTCGCCGAGAACCGACCGCAGTTTGCCCTCGCGTCGCGCGGACTTGGCCGACTACCAGGAGTAGCTGCACGTGTCTTGTGGTACCGAGGCGATTTGAGAAGCGCCGGTTTCGAGAACAGGCGGAGGAGAAGTCGATGGAGCGACGAGGGAGAGACTCCTGAGGAGAGAGTCGGAAGTTGAACGCGTGGTTATCAGTGAATCCTGGCAACGACCGAGTGGAAGAGAATTAGTTTGTTCCGGATGATTATTCACCCGGATTCTCGATGAGGTGGAAACCTGTCGAGAGATATATTTACGAGCGCGCGATTAATCGCGATTAATCGGATGGCTAGGGAACATCGTGATGACCCCGAATAAAAGAGAAACCTTCCATCTCGCGACTTCAACATCAAGGACGACAGTCGAGTCGACGCGTTTCCGCGCGGGTATCGGAGCGGAATAAGAACAGGGAACGGACGACAGGGAAGGTAGATAAAGAGCAGATTATCGGAAGGTGGTCGTTGAGGAAAAAAGAAAGACACCTTCATCTTGTTGTCATCCGACAACTCGTGCGCTCGTGGGTGCACTGTTTTACACGCATAGAAGAGTCAACCTCCTTCACTGATTTGTTATCCATCTCTTTCCGGCCTTTCGTGTCACATCCACGTCTCATTGCCGTGAAAGCGAAGTCATTTCCTGCGTGAGTCGAGCACGCGACGAGACACGCCAGGACTCCCAAAGACGACCCTCAACATGACGACGTTGTATCGGTATCCATTTCGACGCGAACTAGTTTGAAGGGACGACGCCGAAGCAGAAGACCGGAGCGAAGGCACTCGAATGCTCGGAAGCTGAGGAGTATCACCAGGAGGGCCGATACCAGAGAAAAAGTCAACAGGTACGTCCAGGTGGGAAGCGTCGCTTTCCTCTTTTTTTTTTTTTTCTTCTCCCTTCGCAAAAACACACCGTGACGGACGTTTCCGCGTACGATTGTGGCCTTGTCCGGTCGCTGGATAAATAAATTATCCGTCGAGTTTCTTGCCAATTAGATCCGCGATCCGCCTCGATCTTGTTATATCTATACATCGCGTTAAATCCCGACGTTATATCTCGTCTCGACTTTCATAAACGTCGATACGCGTGTCGCGTATCGAGAAAAACTCACCCCTATAACGTATACTAGATTAATTCCGCTTCCTCGACTGGATTTATTTGCTGCAATCTTAGTGGGATACTTTCGGTTCTTTTTCTTTTATTCCAGTCTTTTTCCAGGTTGCTACATTTTTTTTTGAAACTGCCTTATTGGAGTATCTTCCGGATAGTGTGTCGTTAGCGCGCTTTACGATTATATTCTTCGCGTATATTAGTGGAAAAGCACATATCATTTTACGAGCAGAAAGTACAATATATATTCGTCGTTTACGGCGCTCGTTCGCGATTATCATCTGACCTAAATAAATGACATTCTCGGACGCAGTTTCGCGCCCGCGGCGCACGTGCACGACATATAACATGTGTACTTCCCTTAATACGGGGAGTATCTCGTATCGGAAGTTTCCGATAATAGCTCGATACTTATCGATACCTGTCCGTACATACGATTATCTGTACAGATTATCTTGAAGAGGAATTCCAAATAAAATAAAAAAAAAAATAAAAATCTCCAACGGGGAGAGATCGATAAAATGGAGAATCCCGGCCACCGGGAGGGAGAGAACGTTGCGTTTTGACAAATGAAAATTCTAAAAATTCTCGTCGCGCATGTGCGTGCCGATGACGCAACGTGAAAATCAGCGGCGCTAATTACACGATAATGATCTGAGTCGGGTGGGAGAAAAGGAGGGTGGAAAAGGCGACGAAGTTAGGGCCGCGAAGGAGACTCGCGAGAAGGAAATCGAGCGGGGGTTGTGCTTCGACATGAACATGGAAGCGAAAACTGGGGTGGTGAAGGAAGGAAAAGGCGGATATATACATATACTTATTCGCGGTCGGAGGATATAAGCGATAAATATTAAAGTTCCCTATAAAGCACAGAGTTCTGCCGCACTCTTTTTCTTTCTCTTTCTCGTTCTCTCGCTCCTGCTTCTCTTGACGGTGGGGCCTCTGGCACGCCATCGCTTCATTTAAAATGCAAATTCGTCCGGGTGGCGTGAACCACGGCGGCCCGAATTATTCTAATTACCCGCCCTCCCTTCTTTCCTCCCCCGGTCGAGCCGATCTTTCTTGCGGGAAGCTTATCCGCGCTCTCGGCCATTTAAAGTTCGAAAAATCCGAAATTCAAGAATCAGCGTGCATCGAGATTATTTTGCGCTACGTGATTCGCGAAAGCTAGCGAATAATGCGAGCGCGTTTATATATACGACAAGTTACAACCTTGAACATTGTGGATAAAACACACGTAAGATCGATCTGATTACGTAATTCGAAATTCTCAAAATTAGTCTTGATACTTAACGCGTACAAATTCTTGCTCCACATTTTCGAATCGGGCTAAGAATAAAAAAATGATTTTTAATTGATACGCAGGATAAAATTCGCGGAAAAATTCCGAAAATTGGTAGGAGGATGTGCCGGATATGCGACGAAGGGAGATGAACCCCCGATCGCGTATATATATACAGGGTGTCCGGTAACTAACAGACCAACGATCACGAATGGATTCTTTGGTCAATTTGGGAACGGTTTTTCCTCAGCGAAAAAGGTCATCATTTTTTACAACTTTCCAATATTTGTCATTATGTATCTTTATAACTAAGCCTCAAATTAAAATTGTATTATAGTAAACTCTACCTGAAATTAACTGAAGAATGTAATTATGTTAGACTTTTAACTCCAAAACGTTTAGTGTTCAAAAAACCCATTTTTTTCAATCGCTTATAACTCGAAAATTCTTGACTTCTCAACATTTTTGCTAAGGAAAAATCGTCTCCAAATTGGCCAGAGAATCCGCCCTTAATCATTGGTCCGTTAGTTACCGGACACCCTGTATATATATATACGGTAGCCGCGGGTATAACGCATAAACGTGCAAAGTGCGCTGGAAACGAGCGTAGATTATCGCGGGTAACGTGTTCACGATCCGAGCGAGATGTCGTGCGCATGTAGGCCTAATATATTCAGATTTTTATGGCTGGTGGCGTATCGGTGATACGGCGCGGTCCACCCTCCTTTTCCTTTCCATCGTCGTCGTCGTCGTCGTCGTCGTCGTAGCCTTCCTCCACGTACCACTTAAAGCGCGGGGGTTAGCCTAATGAATAAACAAAAACTAGATTTCGCTTAGGGCTTACACGTGAAAGCGTGACCTTACCGGCGATTTACCGCCGCGACGTCGCGGTTCTCAAATCGACTCCTATTTCGTTCTCCACCTTAGACTCCGCGAAATGTCATCGAGATCTCGCATTATTTCAAAAATAAATCAATAAAATAAAAGCATACTTGAAGAATTTAGAAGAGTTTCTCTTATAAATTCTTCAAGTATGCTTTTATTTTATTTTATTTTTTTCATTAATGGGATACATAATTTCTCTTGTATAGAGTTGTTCAATTATCTCTCTATATGAATTAAGGAAAGGAAATTTTTATCCTTCAAACAGATATTTTTTTATAAAAAGAATGTTAGAACTTTTCGCAGTTCACACGCGAGGCTAAAAATTCACATTTTATTAATTTTTTTCATTAATGGGATACATAATTTCTCTCTTGTATAGAGTTGTTCGATTATCTCTCTATATGAATTAAGGAAAGGAATTTTTATCCTTCAAACAGATATTTTTTTGATAAAGAAAAATATTTTAAACCTTTTCGCGGTTCGTGCGAGAGGCTAAAAATCCGCACGTCGACGCGGAATTTTGCTACGTTCGCATACGGTTACAGGTATCTCCGCGAGAAATGAGCGAACGAAAGAGGGAAGAAAGGGACGGGATACACGTGTTCGCAAGAGTAACATCGGCAAAACGCAGAAGGCACGCGAGAAACGCGGCGCTCCTCGACTCTCCGACGCTGGCCGTTTGATTTATAATAATCACTCAATTCTCATTACAAGAGAACTTTATCTTCGCCGATGCGTCGAGCCAAAGCTCGTTCCGTTCCTAAAAAACTTTATCTCTCCTTGTTATCTTTCTCGCGCATGTAATCGACCCTTTTTTCTTCGTAAAACGAGCGGAGAACTCATCGCGAACAGAATTCCTTGAATCTTTACGATATTCATCATTCACGAAGAATCAATGGGACTAATTATATTTCGCCGGATTGGATGGAAAAAAAAGGAAAAAAAAAATAACAGCGTTCTGAATCGATGTAAATTAGCAATTAGCCGGAAAATGGAGTATACCGCAAGGACACGTCGAATGAAGAAATGAGTTTTCGTCGGGGCCTCCGTGCGGCGCATAGCCATTTCGACTATATGGATACCGCGTAACGTATGTAATAGTTACATCAGATTAGAAGCCCAGGGGGCGAGCGTGTAACCAGACCTAATGTCGGGGTAAGCATCGAAGTCACGGGGGTGAAGGCGGATCGTACCTTATTACAACGTATACACAGGTATACATATACACGTGTATAAACACGAGCGGTGTGCGAGAAGAGAGCGAGAAGGTGGAAGGCGCAGGGGTGAAGGCAAGGGGTGATTCGGTAATCGTGCATTAATTTGCATCACAAAGTACACGCCACCCGCCACGCTACGCACGCATTCCACGTAGTTTTCCGCTAGCTCCGCTTCCGTCCGCGAGTTCTCAAACTCGAACTCGTTTCGCGGATTTCTCCCTCTCGATCGATCGAACAACCCTCGATCATCGTGTATCGATCGGACCGGAGTATCGAAGGGATCGATCCGTCGACGAATATGGTCGCGATGGAAAAATCAAATAACCCGGTCGAGCTTGGAATTTCGCGCGCGAAGCATTTTTGCGACTCCGAAAAAAAATTTTTTTAAATAATAAAAACGTGAGACGAAAATATGAAAATGAAGTTGTCGCGGTGCGGACGAGCCTCGAGATCTCTGGACGATCTGTCTTCTCGAGAATGAGAGTCACGGTCGGCGACCACCGGCGGCAATATTTTGCCGCGCTTTCGCTTATCGGTACGGTTGCATATTTAAGGGTTGCCATGTCAAGCGTCAAGCGCGCCCTTTGAATACATTTAAATTCATTAATGGCGAAGGCTATACTCCCGCTATATACTCTATAATACGCGCGCGCATTATGTATGTAAGCCGCTTCGAAGGATTTTAATGCACGATGCGCGCTCCCGCATATACGTATATTTCATGTTGCAGTATGACTTAGAGACTCAAGGAGCTCTGTACTTGCTCTGTTTCAGATTCACGTGATTGCTCGTCGCCGACATGCCGCACACTGGTGAGTTTACGCTTCGTTCTCTCTCAAAGATCCTTTTTTCACATCGAAATTTTCATTCCCCGAAAAATATACATAAGACATATACGATCGGGATCTCAAGAATTCTCTGTTAGATATATTTCGAGCAAATTGTCGAGTTCAAACCTGTCATTTATGTTCACACACTTGACATTTGACATTTCACATGTATTACTGCACTGTAAAAAAAATTGGTAACTTGAATGGTAAATATTTCAATTAAATTGCTATTGGTATTCTTAGTATTTAAGTCAAATGCACGTTTTATTAGATTTAATATATTGCATTTAATTTAAATATTTTTATATGTTCAGTTGACGAAATAATATTCAGTTGAAAGGTTTAGTAAAGTTAACAAACTTTTCTTCAGTGTGTAAAAATAATAGAAACTTGGACAGTTCAGTAATTGTCGATGAATTTTCATTTCGTTCCCGAGAAAGCGGTATTACGTAAGATGCAGCCAGAAGGGTTAAATCTCGCATTAAATCCTAGTAGTATATATATACAAATAGCGTATGCTAATTTTTTTTTTTTTTTTTTTTTTTTTTTTACGAGAAAGACATCGCGCTGGCCGGTTTGCTAAACAGCCAATCCCACGATTCGTCTTTGCTTCCTGATTTATGCGAGAGGGAATGTAACACATCGTTATGGTTTCCCCGGAGACGGGGTCAGCTACCGCGTCGGCGAGATCACAGGACACAAAATCTTTCGCAAAATCGCGTGTAGTGAAAATTAAAATTTCTCCCTCTTCCTCTCTCTCTCTTTCTAAAATTCCTCTTCCTCTCGTCTCGCGGCTAAATTACGATTTGGTAGGCAGTTTGACAGTAATTAACGTAGAATTTTATAACGCGAACCGAGAGAATGTTACGGTCTATTATTAAACGAGTTTAATTACAATTTCCCATCTCGCCATCCCCTTTCTCGCTTGGCCGTGATTCTCGTGTCAAGTATCCTGCCTGAATTTCGATCGAGCGATCAATCTTTCCTTCCTCCGGCGAAATGCCGAGACGAGAATTTTTCGAAATTAAAGAAAGTATATTTTCTACCGGACGTTATTATCAGTCTTGCACTGTAAATAAAAATGTAATTGATTAATTTCACCGAATGTGAAATGAGGAAGTTTATTTCTTGAATCGCTTGCAACATTTTGAACAAATTGTTGCGAAATCTTAATAGATCGGAAAATTAGGAAGAAATTATAGGGATTATACTTCCAGATATTATTAAATTATATATATCCAGACATCATTATTATTATTAGACGATATCATCATATTCCCCTTATCTCGCAGATTCAATGTTACCTCTTAATCATGAGTGAACTCGTTACATATGTTACCTTTTAATTATCAAGATCATTCGAGTCGCAGATAATCGTTGGAGCGATAAACGCTTAATAATAGCCGTCGTAGTTAACCATCTTAATACATTCCCATTTACAAGCTACCTTCCTCTTTCTCTCTCGCGTGTATTCTTTCAAGACAGATGATGACGGATCCGAGCCGATAGCGAGTCGAATATCGATCTGGGACGTGTCGATTCGCGAGATACCCTATTCGGCATTGATTCGGAACGGCAGCATCTCTTGGAAGAGAGATAGAAGGAAAAAAAATTGTGTTGGCTTGGTCGTGATTGCACAGGGTAGGCAGGTGTAGAGTTTGGTTTAGGGGCCTTAAATGGCCAGCGCGATAGGGATCGTTGTTGGCGATCACATTAGCCCGCTAATTCTAAGCTAAGCCAAGGTATTATATACCTGGAGAGAGATGTTCCTTTATGCACTCGCGAAAGTATCTCCCGAAAGTACCTTACGCTCGAGAATTTGCGCGCTTGGAGAAAGATAAGCCGAGAGATAAGAGGACATTAAAAACATTAATAACTTACACTGTCAGAATTTTTAATACAACAATGATAAGGTGATAATGGACTCTCCGATCGAAAGATAGTAATGGATACTTGATATCGAGACTCGCAAATCGATTCACATTGTATAACATGGTAAATTATATATTATTAAAAGATATTACATAATAAAATATAAATATATATTAAAGCGCATTAATATATATAATTTATTTATTTCTAAAATTAGAATAGTGTAATATGCGTATAATCAGAATGATGAGGAATTTTTTAAATATTTTATGTTTTCGCGTAATTATTAGTGGCTTAATGAGCTGTCAATGGGGTCGAAGATCAAGGTGAAATCGTATTAATTCTAGGAAAGAGTGTCGAAACAGCAAATTCGCGCAGAATTATGCATGAGTCTCGCCTTTCCGGCTAGTAACATCCTTTTAATTCCTGTCAATGAAATCACCGTAGTATCGATCAAAAGTTTAATCGAGATCGAACATAACTTCGCGTCTCACCTTGACAATTTTAATCGACGTTTCGGAAGAGATGAATGTCATACATATCTTTTCCCGTACAGATATATAAACACTCTGAAAAAATATCCTGATTTTAAATTCAGAGAATTTGTATTGGTGAAAGACATTTATATAAATATGCAAAATTTATCGACATACATTAATTTTTTCGTTGAAAGGCTCAAGAACAGAAGAAGATGGATTCTCGAAAATTGAAGAAAATTCCGGCAAATGCAAAATGTTATCCAAGCTAACTCGGCAGAAATAGCGGTAGTTAGCGGTAATATATCTTTCTTATACGCGCATTTATATATTTAATGATCCAAAATAGATCCTTTAGACATTCGATCCGCCGTTTACGACAAGCGCGCGGTTTATCGCGCTTTTAATTGTTGCAAACGTCCCGTTAGTGCAGATAACAGTTACTTGAACCGCGCGGTCATGTTCGCATCAGAATTTATAGCGCGTTTCGTCTTTTTTTTGTTTTTTTTTTCTTTTTAATTCCACACTCTCCTCTCTACTTTGGAACTCCGTTTTGCGCGTTTCCGGTATTTCGGACGTATACGTTTTTGTTTCACATAAACGAGTGGTCTGCGCTACTTGCTGATGCGCGGGCACCAGAACCAGCAACCCGTTAACGCGCGGTTCCATTATTTCGACGGATCCAGATTTGCACTTAGATAAAGACATTTCGGCCGGTTTTTGCCGTAATAATAATTTGGCCCGCTGTGCGTCAGAGTCGCTTCGCGTCACATCCGTCCGAAAACGCGTAGCGTGTATAATTTTCGTGCAGTCGCGCTACAGATTGAGCCCGGCAGAGCGAATGGAAGCCATTAAGGGACAAATAATAATTAATCGAATAAATAAATAAATAAGCGAAAAAGAAATTACGAGAGAATCGTCGAAAATAAATGATCGAATTTAGAGCGGCGTGTATAAAAAAATTCTGTGCGCGATTAGATACAAGTGTTTACTTTATCGAGGGGAAAATCTCTCTCTACAGTCTTTCAGATGCTCGACTGCAATTGCTAATGATGAATTAACGAATGCATACGAGCACGCGACACGCGCATCGCAGCTGGAAGCGTGATAATTTCTTCCCCGAAAATTCTGTCGCGCCAAATGTCGAAGAGAACCTTAAATTATCCAATAAGGACAATCCGTCACACCTTCGACCGATGGTTATTATCAGCAATTTCCACCTTGTACGATCGTAATGCTGTAAGCGTCACGTACACTCACGTGTCGTAATTTTGTGTCTGGGACTTAATGGATCCTTCGCCGTGGTTACGTTTATTTCAACAGACATTTCCACACACGTAAATCCGATTCTTAATTTTTCTCGTTAATCGCGATGACTAGATTTATCCTGGTAAAAAATATAAAATTATATTTCAAAAAACAAAAGTAATCTCGACATATCTTTGAGAGAGACCTCGTAAAGTCTTGAATATAAATTTCTTGCAAATTGTAGATTTCCTTGAAGCAAATAACTTTCAGGAGACATAAGAATTGACATTTACGCGCGACTATAATCACATTTGATCTTTCGAGAGAGCATGAAAAAATAAGAATCATCATCGGGAGCGATGACTCGCGTTAATTAGTTGGTAAAAGCGTTAAAGCCCGCGGGATTCGAGGAATCCGAATGTAATGACTGGCACTGGAAAAGATCGACGAAAATCTTTTCTTTGGACCCCTTCGGATCGTTATTTCTCGAGCCGGAGCTGTCGGCGTCGGTGCCGGTAATGACATAATTAGCCAGCGCGGATAATAATTAGCGTTCGTCCATCCGTCTACGTGAAGGCGCGTGGCTCGATTTATATAGGTTTGCCGGTGGCACTTAATGTTTTCGCGGCCTTTTTCGATCCTTTTTATATTTCTTCGAAGGATGGGAAGAGGAAAGGATCGTCGTTAGTAACGCCGCTTCTGTACGAGGTCCTTTCTTCGGCTTCATCGGTTACGTCGAGAATAATCTCCCAGGAATTATCCCCATTAATATGTGCCATGTTATTATTCGTTTAATATACAGTACCCTCCATAAGTTTGGAAACACCTTACATTTTATAGTTAAAGAATTGCACGGCAGCGATCTGTTATAAATAAAAATGTCATTTAAATATTTTATGTTTTTTTATGATTTATTTATACAAAAAATCTGCACAGATCTGTCAAAAGGATCCTCTTAATTTAAGAGAAAAAGTCTCTAAAAAAATATTCTTTAATTAGATATTCGCAATATGCAAGAATATACGATCTGTCATAAATAAAAATGTTATTTAAATATTTTACGATTTATTGATACAAAAAAACTGTAAAATATAAGGTGTTTCCAAACTTATGGAGGGTACTGTATATATATTTTTTACGATGCGATGTGGAACGTAACCGTGGAAAATTTCTCTCGCGTATAAATAAAATATAAATCTTCCTCCTTGCTTGCCTCATCAATCTGCATTATAATCATATATAATAATCCAAAATAATTGCACATTATCAAAATTTAAGTACGAGTGATGGAAAATACTATGAAAATGTGTCGCCATTTTTTTCTCGTGACTATTCTTTGATGTAACAATAGATTAATTATCACAATTTCATGCTATCAAGAAATTTGCAGTGCAGACGTATGATTATAGAACAGTAATTAACTATCTAGAATATTACACGGAGAGAATTCCTCTTAGAATTTACTTTGAAGATTATGGTAATCGTGGGACAATATTGGAAGAATTTTATAAGAATTTCTTTGATTAATTACATAGTAAAATGAATCGAACATTTTTTATATCTTATTGTAATATATTACAATAAGATATCTATAGATATTTATATTTAGATATTAATATTTTTATGGTAAAAATTAATCAGAAAAACTCTAAAAAATTCTTCCAATATCATATTGCTCAACGATTACCATGATTTTCAAAGTAATATCCAAGAGGAAATTCCCTTTGTGCACAATCTTCAATTTTCAAAAACTTTAAACTTTTCAAATTTCAATGTTCAGAGTTATTATGTTAATAATGTAATAATTATCGACTTTGATTCTAAAATTTGTTCTTCGTTTCCTAAACACTTCGCATAATCCGCGTATACGCAAAAGTTGAGCAAACTCCCGTACAACTTAAATATTATTCGTCTTTTGATATCAAATTGCGAATCAAATCTGCAAATCGTTTTCTTGATGGCGGACATAAAATCGGTGATCGATTGATCGGTGATCGTTTTTATTCGCATGAGACGAGTCTGATATTACGATTTTACGATACCGCGCTGGAATAATATCGATTATATAAAATGAACAGCTCGAGTCGAAGCTATAGTGTGTCAGCTGATCCATACGAAACATAGATACCTTACGCGCACGTAATGCATAAATAATTCGCCATCTTCCATTTGGATTTAAGTCTCCAGGTTATAACGCGCCGGTGAGTACGAATTACGCGATTAAACGTTTTATGGACGTGTAAATAAAAAAAGAGGCGAGAGCCATCATCTCTTAAAACCGTCCTCCTGTCAATCTCGTCGCGTTGGGTCTAAACTTCAAAATCCCGTCACAACATTATGTTAATTTTATTAGGTTCCGGAATTTCGACGTTGTAAAATCGAAATTTTATTAAACAGAAAGTTGCTTTACAGTTTTGTCAAGAGTCTGATTATACATTTGGGAAGTTTTCGAGGAAACTTCTCTCGGCGAAATAATGATCGCGCGTAAACAGGAAGTAATTTACGTGACGTCTTCACGCACACATATATCTATACTCATACGCGAAATAAATAAAGTACATTTCGTGAAAGGCGTTATATGCCCATAAGTGCCGCGACAACAGTTGTCGCACATGTTAACGAACATTTAATGCGTTTGGTCTCGTAATCCTGAATTGCATAAGAGCAGCGAAATGCTCACCCGATTCCACGTTAATTACAAACGAGCCTCGCGCGAAAGAGAGGGAAGTAAAGAGACATCGGGAGATTTCGCTGTGAGAAATCGCTCCGCACGATCTCCTTCCTAATGTTACAGTAAATAATGATACGTCTTTGCGAGCGAAAAGGACGGAGAAAGGGAAGGTCCTTTCCGTGATATTAGTCGTAACGATGTCATTAGAGGGCCAGACCTGGGACCGCATGCCAAAAAGTGCACCTGCCGACCTTTCTCGGGCGGTCGCTTCTATTAAAATATATATCTCCGAACTATGTCCGTCCCTTGAATCGATAAACACCTTTCGCGATCGCGAAATCCCCGAATTTTTGCCAACTTTCCAGGTCGCTTATCGGCCGCGGCGATCGTTATTTTCCCATTTTTTATCGTAACCGCGCAGTTAATAATCGCGATCGGTTCGACTGTTCCAGGACAAGCCGGGGTAAATCAATTAGGCGGCGTTTTTGTGAACGGCAGACCCTTGCCGGACTGCGTGCGCCAGAGAATCGTGCAGCTAGCCATGGTCGGCGTCAGGCCGTGTGACATTTCGCGGCAGCTACTCGTCTCTCACGGCTGCGTCTCCAAGATCCTCACGAGATTCTACGAGACGGGAAGTATCCGGCCCGGCAGCATCGGCGGAAGCAAGACCAAGGTAAGATCTCAGCGTCATTTTTACTAAATTATGTATATTATATACGGTTTTCTTTTTAATTAGCCTTCCCAGAAAATGTCGAGTCTTTATAAGGGTTGTTTTTTTCTTTAAGCCTAGAGTTTTTTCAATCAAAAAATCTATGACATTTTTTATTAAAGAGCCTATAAAGCTTACAAAGATTTTTCGTTTTAAAAATTCTAGGTTTCTTTATAGGAATTGGGTTTTTTAAAGCCTAGTTTTTTTAATAAAAAAATCTGTAAGAATTTTTATTAAGAAGCCTATAAATCCTATAAAGATGTATATTTTATTATATAAATGTACAAGATACCAAAGTTCAAAAAAATGTTTATTGTGTTTCATTAATTAAGAGTTAATGTGTCCTCGAGAAAAATTTGATCACGCCGAATTTGGAAATAAAATTTGCTCGAAAATAAAAATTCAGTGTGCGAAATGCAAAATGGTGAGAGTCTCGCGGTTTGGAAAAAGATTGATGTCGGTATCGCAAAAACGCGATGAAAACGAGCGCGATCGCGCGCATCCGTGTATGCGTTAGCTGTAGAACGATGCCCCACTGATGAGGGGTCGTTCTCCATCCCCCTCTTTCCCTCCCCCCCTATCCCCATTGCGCAAAGTCGCGCGTTCAGATATTCCTGATGTGATTTTAAGTAAGGGCTGTGTTTTGACCGTGCGTGCAATTATCCAAACACCTTCCCGCGCAAGGCATTTGCATAATTTCATGCTTTTCTTGACACGTGATTTTTTACTGACACTTGTACCTCGACATCGAACGATGGAAAATTCTGGGAAAATTGATTCGATTTCTTGCCGATACACTGCGAGAAAATTTTCTTTTAGAATTTATCCTGAAAATCATGGTAATCGTGGGACAATATGGTATTGGAAGAATTTTAGATTTAAGAGTTGTTTTGATTAATATATTTACCACAATAAAAAAATATTAACATGTACATGGTAAATTTTACTAAAATTAATAAAACGTATTTTATATCTTATTGTGGTAGATATTAATATTTTTATTGTGATATAAGAATATTAATCAGAGAAGCTCTTATAAAAATTAATTTTTTTTTCTTATGCTAGATATTAATCTTTTTTATGTAATAAAAAATATTAATAATCAGAAAAGCTCTTATAAAATTCTTGCAATATCATATTCCACGATTATGATGATTTTGAGGGTAAATACTATAAGAGAAGAAACCGCTTTTCCGATCGAATTTGCAAAATTGCCACCAATCACATCGAATGCAATACGGTAAACCGAATTAAACTCGTAAAATCGCTCGCCCTCTCTTCCTCTCGTCGCGAAATTAACGACGAGTCGCAGTTTTTACCGCGTGTCCCACGTCTCGGTCTCTTCTCTCTCTCGAGAACGCCAATTTCGCCCCCCGGGTGCGCATCGCGAAGCTGCACCAATACAGGAGTATCGCGCACGTACACGATGCCGCTAATGACAATATAATTGCACGGTACGCATGCACTGGGAATTTCTTACGACGCGTCGACCGTGCAACGTTACACCGTATACCCGCGTTTCGGCTTAATGAATTTATTTTAATAACGTCGGCGTCGGCGTGCGTCGACCTTCCTCAAGTCTGAATTCGCTGCACCGGGCGAGAGAGAAAAGGAGACGTAGATAGAAAGAGAGAGAGAGAGAGAAACGTGGTCCGCCGTAGGAGCATCTCCGAAGAGAGGCATTTAAATTCCGGCTATGGGGAGCCGATTACGCGTGCATGTAAACGATAGTCATCATCCGCCATTACCGGCGGTTCGGTTTTATTTTACGTATGTCAAAATAGTCTCACGGCGAAATAACGATCGCGCGTTTAATGCATGGCTCCCGAAGTCCTGAGGTCTTTTTCAAGACGGTCCTCTACCGTGGTCCATTTTTCTTCTTTTTTTCTCTTGCGACAAAACCGCGGCAATTTGAGTGAGAAATTAGGAAGAAATATGGCCATCGAGAGAAGTAAATATGTTCACAAAGACTCGAGGCTCCTTTCCTCTTTGCAACGTGCCTGCCTGATGCCTGTCGTCCGCACAAAGGATCCTTCTCTCTCGAGATGATAGTTAGATAATCGACTCGGTGGCACGTCACTATCTCTCCTCGTTCGTAAGTGGCTCTTAAAATTACGCCGATAATTAAATAATGGCTAATAGGTAAACCCTTTGATTGCCTGGCAGTATTAACTCGAGTCTCTTCCTCGAGAACTGACATTTAACTCTCTTCCCCCCCGTCTCTTCCTCCCATCACGTCGATTTCCATCAAGAGGAGAGCGTTCCCGATTTTACTGCTGAGTAACGTGAGATGAACGTCGCCCTGTCAAGATTACGTTGCTCCCCATTTTGAGTCTGTTATTACGACTTTCCGCTCCCACGATGTTGCCCTTCGTCGGAAGATGAAGATGCTGCGTGAAAGATGCGCGTGAAAATTTGGCGCGAACCGTGCATTTGATTTCGCAAAGGATGGATTTCCGGATGGATCTGCAGCAGATGAATTTTTTTAAATTCAGTTCGCTTTCGATATATATATATATATATATATACCCATGTGCGAACCTCAAAAGGCTCAGTACTGGCTCAATACTGGTGCCAGAGTCGCCAGTACTGGCTGACGTTCTGGACCAGTATAAGTTGAGATCATTACTGGGACAATGTCGGAATGATAACACGGGTCCCAGTCTCGACGCCAACTTTGGCCCGACACAGAGTATTAGTACAGAGGCAACGTTGATTGCCAATGTTGGGCCAACTCTTGATGCCAACTTTGGCCCGACACAAAGTATTAGTACTGGGACAACATTTATTATCAGTATTGGGCCATATTTATTAGTCCAAGTATTGGACCAAATCTAACATTAGAATAACCGATATGTTTAAAATCATTATAAATTAATGTTTCCAAATAAAAATATTTGTTGTCATACACCAACGTATGGCCCAATGTATCCCCAGTGCTGATCCAATATATACGATTTTATCCAACATAACTTTTATCATCTCAGTACTATTTCACGTCTCGCCCCCAGTGCACGCCCAGTACTGATACGATATTTGGCTTGGTATAGAAAATACTTTGTGTCAGTACGGTACACAAACATTGGCCCAATTTTCTTCCAGTATACTTGAACCGGTACTCGCGCTGCAGACAAAGTTGCTTGCTTCCCAGTAATCCGACACGAGCCCAGTACTGAGACGATTCTTGGCCATCGATTAATATCATTTTTAGCCTTATACACAATCAGTACTGAGACGAGACTCGGCTCGGAACAGAATATGATTGCATGGGAGTATTGGTACAGTACCAATTAGGGACGAGACTGGTACAGTATTGATCTGGTGGTTTATCCGTACTGGGGCAGTACCAGCTATCAAGTCTTGGCAGCCAATATTGTGCCACTTCTGGGCCATGTTGACAACTCTGGCAGAAGCCCGACATTCGCACACGGGTATATATATTATATATTTTGTATATCTTATTGCTCTGTACTACAACACAATCTCTCCGTCTCGGTGCATCTCGTGCGACGCGATGCAATTTAGCGTGTGCAATTCCGCGAGATTAATCGACCGACTATCGGCGAATCTACACGTGTTACCCCGGATATCGGTACGTAACATTTTCGAGGCATGTCCGCGTACTTTCTCTCCCGTTATCTTCTCTCTCTCTCTCTCGTGTATACGCGCACGTCATTGCGATACGCGTCTGGATAATGGGTCGGCGACATGACAGAGAAAATTGTCTCATGAAAAATGCACGGGCCGCGTCAAAGCGGTAATAAAGTGGAACGTCGGGGGGAAAAAAATCGCGATCCCCGACAAAGTTTCTCTCTCCCATATAATATGACACGCCTCGACGCGGAATACGCATCGCATCTCGATTAACCCTTCCCCTTTCGGATTCGCGATCGCGATCTCGCGACAGTTTCTCGAAAGGACTCCCCTTTATCCTCCTACCCTTCCCTCGTTCATCCGCCGTTTCCCGTTGGAACTATTATTGTCACGGGTTCTTCGATCCGTCCGGGAACATTCATTTTCTCGGTATACGATTCACGCTCTCGAACGTTTTTTTTTCCTCCGTTTATCTGGCAATTAAGATCTCGCTCGTATTTGATCGGACCCCGCCCGGACGTGTATTTATTTTCGATGTATGATTTAGCGGCATTGAAGAGCGACCGCGCGACAAATGGAAACGTCTCGTTTTCCTTGAGCGCAGAATCGAGTGACAGGTTCTACAGTCAACACAAATAACTGTTTAGAAAATTTTTTTTCATTTATATTTATTTTATTTTATTTTTAGTCTTATTTATACACAGAACAAATTTTCTCTTAGAATTCACCCTGAAAATCATAGCAATTTTGGGGCCAATATGGTACCGGAAGAATTTTATAAGTCTCTCTGATTAATATCTACCACAATAAAAAATATGTACATTGTAATTTTACTATTAATCGAACACATTTTATATCTTATTGTACAGATATTAATATTTTTTATTGTGGCAAATATTAATCAGAGAAACTCTTATAAAATTTTTGCAATATCATATTGTCGTCTCACGATTACCATGATTTTCAGAATAAATTCTAAAAGGAAATTATTTCCGTGTATAAATATAAATAAAAATAAAATAAAATAAATAATTTAAGGACAAGGATGACGACAAACGTCAGCGCTTTTGCGTCCCATTTTTTTCCTATTGGCTTCGCGATTTGGAACAAAACCATTTAGCGAGAGCTATGAAATAAATTGGTAAAATAATAGAAAAAACAGTGAATGTCTGGTCAAAAAATCAATAGGTACATTTCTACACAGTCTATTTCAATCGTGAAACAATATAGTATATTGGAAAAGAATTTTATAAGAGTTTTTCTAATTTATATTTACTACAATAAAAAATATTAATATGTACATAATAAAATTAATCAAACATATTTTATATCTTATAGTGTAGATATTAATAAAATTCTACCAATATCACATTGTTCCATGATTACCATGATTTTCAAGATAAATTCTAAAATCAAATTCTCTGCGTGTAGAAAAATATATCGATTTTTACAATTTTTTATTTTATCTTTTATTCCAATTTATTTCATAGCTTTCGCTCGATGATTTCGTAGCGAATCGGCAACGGTGGGAAAAAGATGGGGCGCAAAAGCGCCGACGTCCGTCGTCGTCCTTATCGTCGACGAGCACCCAGAGAGGGACGGCATTGTAGCGCAAGTTGCGCGCGATAATTACCGGAGTTGGTCAACCTGTACCTTGGCGGGCCCGCTGCTGTATAACACTGGGTTATCTAACGTTTAGTGCCAGATGTCCATCCTGTCCGGCCAATTTCCTCCGTTGGTCACACGTACATACATATATGTACACGCACATGCGTCGGACGCGATGCGACCGGAGGGTCCTCGCATTAGGACGCACCGGTATATATTGTCCGACCCCGGGGTAATTGTGGCAACGACGACGACGGAAGTGTCAGATTAGAATCTGAGATGCTCCCGGGAGCACGCGATGCTTGTCCTAAACCCCCTTCAAACTATTAGGTACCTCTCTCTCTCTCTCCCGAGCACTTCGCCCCCGAGGCATTAGCCCTTATAAACGTTCTTCCCAGTGGTGCTTTCACTTGCGAGAGACGACGACCTGTCGTGTTCGATATTAGCTCTTATTATATTCTAAAATCCGAAATAAAAGTAAAAATAGTTTGGCTACCGATATAAGTTTGATACACGATTAAGTGATTAACGTTTCTGTATTAACGAGAGGGTTGTATTATTGGGCGATCCCTATCGGCCATTCGAGACTTATAATTCCTCTTAGCACTGTCGACAGTTTGCCGTTTGTCTTTTTGCCGATCGTATCGATCATTGTCCGGTTGCACACCCGGAGTATTTATTTCGCTCCTCTGCCAAACAATCTGCCGTAGAGAGAGATCGTATCGATCTCCTTCTCCTCTTTCTCCTTCGCTAAACGGATCGGTAATCGACAGATTCGGCGATATCGTTCCGCTCGTGATACATACGTACATATACGTATTCTCCTCGTCGAGAGAGAAGGAGATGGGAGACGAGAAAGCTGGACCCCTGCGCGGGCAGGAAGATGATTACCTTTCCCGGGCGTGTGATCTCGGCGCATCTCTCCCGCTGTCGCTCCTCGAAGGAGATCGGCGATCTCGAAATCTGTGTTCTGGCCGGAATAACATTTCCATCGCGTTAGCATAAAATTATCCGCGTGCCATTACCGTTCATTAGCAAGTCAAATTAGTCGCGCGCGGATTGAGCACCGCTGGAGCCCTTCGGAGTTGTTTCGGAGGTGGCCAACGGCATGACGGTACCAACCCGTTTCCGCGGGGTTAAACCGAAATGGGTCTGCCTAGGTTCGCTCACACCACCGGTAGGACTCCTCTCGCTATCTTGATCGACGACTACCCCTACGTCACTCTGCTCTTCACCTGTGAACGACATATGCGCGTGCGGGCCCGCTCCGACGACAGTGTGACCGCACTTGACGTTAATTTGTCGATGAGATAAGGGTTGTAAAAAAGAAAAAGAGGAAGACCGTGTTCGCGGATATGATTAACAGCGCCTCGCACATCCTGGGACCGATAAACATCCTTACGAGGACGATGAAACACGTCGAATTGATGGGAAAGTTTGTTTACAGGGAATATTGAAATAAATATAAATATAGCTTTTTCTACGGACATTTTGCATTTTTTTCATTCACTATTTACGGTTTTGCTCTCTGTATTTGCAGCAAGTGGCCACGCCGACGGTAGTGAAGAAGATTCTACGGATGAAGCAGGAACAGCCGACGATGTTCGCGTGGGAGATCCGCGAGCAGCTCGCGCGCCAGGGTGCCTGCGATCCCCAGAGTTTACCATCGGTATCCTCGGTTAATCGTATTCTCCGAGGTGGCGGACTCCACACCGATATCCCCACCATTGAGAGCGGCACATCCGGCGGATACACGTCACAAATTCCGTCGAACGCCGGAACCAGAGGTGAGAGGGTCGATAAATGATCACAATCTTTCGTCATCGGAACCATGTCGATTTTTTTTTGCACACCGAAGAGAAACCTTCTAACAGCACATGTCCGAAAGATGTTTAGAGGACAAACCCTAACATCACATATATCCCGAAGACGTTCAGAGAACATCTTGAGGATGTTCGAATTTTCTCTGGATATCCTCTGAACATCTTTTGGATATGTTGTGCTATTAGGGAAAGAGCACATTCAGAGGATATTTTACATCCCCTCGATGTTCTCTGAACATCTTTCGGATAGGTATGTGTGATGCTGGGAAACGCGATAGATTGCGATCGAGAGTGGCGAGAAAGAAAGAGTAAAAGAGCGCGTCTATCTTTTCGTTGTACGAAAACTTCGTGAGTCATTATGAGTAGCGGGCTAAAACTACGTTATTGCGAGTGCACCATTACAGGCTCTAATGACGCCTTAAACACCTGTCCCTAGCGCGTGGAATTACTTCGCGGCGACGGAGTTCCTTCGTGCGGTTATTTTCAGAAGAAAGACGATAAATGTCCGAAAACGACGACTCGAGCTGAAGGAGAAGAATAGAATAGGGAGCGATGCACATCGTGAGCACAGGCTCAAGGGGTGGGATGGGGAGACCAAAGGGGGCAAATTTCGAGACACCCCGTTGCCGTGATTGACTCGTCAGCAAAAGCCACGCAGAGAAGAGAGCAGGCAGGGCGAACACGCACGCGATCTCTGCGCGCTGTCGAAACGGAAAATTTGCTTCGTAATTTGTGCCGCTGCTGGGATGCTGGAAGCGGTGCTCAATTTACCGGCTTTGAGCAGCTAATTGCGAAACGAGCTCCCCCGGACTCTCATCTTCATCTTTCTTCTAAACTATGTAGCTACGAGTCACGAGTGACAGTTAGCGTCTATAGAAGAGAACTCGCACATTTTATTTTCGCATTTCTGGTTAAAATATTATTTCAGAGACGAGATATATGTGAGAATATTCGTATTATAAATTGAAAGAGAATCGAATCAACATTTATTAATATATAATTAAGAACGGTTTCTCGCTAATGTAAGCAAAAAATTGCAAGCAAAAACTAGCTTGGAATAACATTAATACGCAGAACAGAAATCGCAATAAAAATACTTCTGGCGGCCGCAAAACATTTTGAGACCGCTATGTTATTATAGTCATTTATTAACAAAGAAAAATGCATCACACATCGCGAATTTATTGCACCAAATAAATTCAATGGAAAAGGAAAGAAATGACGAACATTGCCGTTTCTCTTCAGGACGAATGAAATTAAACTAAAACAACATAAGCGCGTGCAATGCGTCATTCTTCAATTTTATATTTTAAAAAATGATATTTTTAAAAAATTATAAATATAAAGTTTCTTTAAACTCGAATAATATTTTTTGACAGAAATCAGCTGATAATTGTCAAAAATATTAATCGAGTTTAAAGTGTTAATATATTATAAATTATAATATATTATAATATATTAACATTTTAAACTCGATTAATATATTTGACATTTATCAGCTGATTTCTGTCAAAAAATATTAAAGCGAAACTATGCTAATTAAATTTTGAAATAATATGTTATAGAAATTAAAATAGTAATATGTTGTAAATGATATTAGATAAGATCTTATGATATATAGAAAAACACATATGCATATTTTTTTATTTTAATTGTAATGAGAAATACGTAATGAGAAATTTTTGAATAACTTTCTCTACGAATTCGCGATTCAGAAATTATAGTAATGACGGATGCACTTACTTTTGGTCTCTCTTTATCTTAGATACACTTATGAGAACGGACTATCAGCTGTTCTATCCGGGTGCCCTAGGTCCATTGCACATCTCCACAAACAACAGCAACACCGGCACGCCGTCTTGGAATCAGAGTTTTTACTCGTCCCTCTACCAAGCGACGACTTTGCACTTGCAGCACGGGATGCAGTCATTCGCGTAAGTCTACCTCTGGAATCAATTTAACGACATATATTAATCGATTTGATAAATGTGTACAAGTATATCGAGTTAATTAAACACATTTATAAATTTATTCTTACAGACCTTTGGACGCTGAACGTCTGTCGGAACAAAACGGCGCGCAGAATCAGCTGGAGTTGAAGTCGAGCTCGAGCTCGACGGCCGGCAGCGACGATTCGCTGGATAAGAGCGATCTAGACGAGAATCTTGTCGATTCGCAGGACCATTACAAGTCCTTCCGGAGCACCCCGATCATTTTGGAGCTTAGCCAGAAAATCGGCAGCGATCGGAGCGCATTCGTCAGGCATGCCACGCCCAATTCGCACGTTATAAACTTGGACAACCCTCGGGAGAGCCCGTTATCAGTCGTCGAAACCTTGAAGCAGGATCGTCCAACGTCACACAGGATTTCCGAGGCGAAGAACACGAATCCGAGTTCGACGACGATGACGACGATGACGAACGAAAGCGCGGCGGTGGAAAATCAGCCGCCGCAGCCGCAGAAGAAGAAGAATCCTTACTCGATAGAAGAGTTACTGAAGAAAGACGAAAGCAAATCTCCACCCAGGAGGCCGAGATTGCCCAATATCGGCGTGGTGCAACCCTGTGGGATCGTCGTCAGTAAGGAGATGTAAGAGGATATCTCGGATGAGGAGCTTTTAAGACGCGTTGTGTATTTAATTACAAAGCGCGAACTATATCGTGATAATCAGATTGATGACGAATCTCTGAGAACGTTGTACGATGTAACAGCGTACATCGTCGACTATAGATACGTGTGTAGTATTGCCAGGTGTAGAGAAATAATGAGCAAAGCGCGTTCAATGAAAATTGAACGATTCCCTATGTAACTTTTGAGAGTTATTTCTTTGCACCTGCGATGAATAATCTTTGCGGGTACAATGAGAGAGTAGCGAATGTCCTATAAGTGTCTAACTTAGAAGTATCGATTAAGCATATAGGAGTTGATGAAAAAGATTAGAAGAGCGGACGGGGAGATTGAAGTTTTCTCCTTTGAGAGAGAACGTGGCTGTCTTGTGAAGTAAAATAAGAGAAACGATACGCGCGAATCCATACGTAATACGTTAAGATCGATGACTGTATTATCGATTGTAACTTGTAACGCGTAGTAAAGTATACGTAATCTCTCTTTGTGTAAGTTAACTTATAATTAATTATTTTTTTCCCTTTTTTTTCTCTTGGAACACCGGCGTTGCTCTCATCTACGTTCGAATACACGACTGTTAATCGCTTCAAGAATTTAAGACTTCTGCTTAAACTTATTGTATGTCCACAGCGACGTAAAACCGCTAATTACAATCAAGTACATTTTTTTCACTGAATTATCTTACAATTTGTCGAATTCGTCACCGACGATGAAATATCAATTAATGTCGCCAGTCTCTCTCGCACCCTAATTATCACATTAACGTAACACAATAATTTCAGACCGCCATGTCACACGATGAAATTCGACATTATCGCACAGGCTTTATGAAAACAAAATTGATTCGAGATATAATTCCACGCTAACCGAAAATAAATGCGATATACGACGTCTATATAATAAAAGTCGCGACAGCGAAAATTTTCTTTCTTTTTCATTCGAATAATAATCTACTAAACTTTAGGCGTCTTCGACAGCCTGTTCGCCGAAACGTCGAACGGGCAATTACGCGTCCCTATTGTGCGACTCTTGGCACTTTAGAGCCCGATGCGAAATAGCATCGTTGCGCGATGCCGTTATACCGGCACGGAGGATCGAGAAATTAAATGAAAGCCTATAATAAACAAACGGCCGTAAAGCAGATGCGGATGGAATATACGCGCGGCGGCGGTGGCTGCAGCAGTAAAGCCATAAACGATTCGTTCGAGGGTGTCATACGTGTGACACGCCGTGTGTATATCTTGTAAAATACGACGATGCGTCGCTCGCGTAAAAAAAAAGAGGGAAATTAAACAGCGACGTTACATCGAGCGGCATCTCTCTCTTTCTCTCTCTATCTCTTTTTGCATTTACAACGTTGTAAACCTTTGTATCTCATTCCTCATCGCGGACTAATTAATGCGCTATAAAAACACCAGTGCTTTAATGTCGAACGATTTGCTCGCTTTGCTGTCTCGCGCCTGCCAATTGTGCATTCTCGTGAGCTATTTTGAGCTGACGTCTCGATCTTTTGCGAAAGAGAGAAATATCGGCATCGCGCGCTTTCTTTATGATGAATCTTCTTTCGAAAAGAAGAGTTCATCGCAAAATTGGCTCAATCCGATATCCGCATGCGAAGAGAAACCGCGAGAGTAACCTGGGTGCGCTTTTACGTAAACGGAAATTATCGCTAACGCTCAAACTTCTCTTTTCTTTTATTTGCCATACACGGAGATTATTAGACCTTAAGATGAGTGTGAAACACATCTTCCTCGAAAGGGAAGAGATCCGTTATTCGTGTAGGCTTGAAATATTTATTTTAGATTTAGATATTGCGAAGTTATACGAATGAGCATTCCGTGTTTCGAAAATTATTCGCGAATTATATTAAATAAAAAAAAGAGATGAGATAAAATCTCGATTCAAATGTCCACCACACACAGTCCAAGATAATTTTTAGATTTGAGAGAAAGTACTTGTCAACTTTACATTTACACAGAATGCTCATATAGAGAGAGATCTGATATAATTAGAATAATAGTTCTGTACAATAATTGTGGTCGAACAGTCTTCTCGTGGGTCTCTAAATGACTTTAAAGATGATCTCTTTCAGAATTAGGATTAAAGATGGAAAACGCGAAATATAAAGTAAATAAACTGCGATTTGAATCAAACGCAAAGGATTTTGAATCAGATTTTTAAGATATAATTATAGGCGATTCGTTTTAAACTTTAAAGTATCGCCGCGACAGACCTACGCGGGAGACCGTCGCCTAAAAAATCATGCAAGTTTATCGACTAATTAATACTCGTAATAAACTTATCCTGTATAATATCATTAAATACACTAGTCAAAGTGACATATATGCCGTGTTTGCCTTGCACGTCTTTATGTTCGGCATGTTTTATGCATACGTCAACGAGTTATAAGAGAACGACAGCGACCGCAGAAATAATAGTATTGCATACCAAAACGCACATCGAAGCCGATGTAATAATAATAATTTGACGACTTTTACGATCCAACAGTCTATGAATAATTATTGTTTTTATTAGACATTAGCGACACCCACAAGAAGAAAGTCTCCTTACATAGAAACTTTACATCTTTTTATCGAATCAATTGCCAAGTTGCACACGAGTATTCTATAGCGACGTAAAATATTCGTTAAATATAGTAATTTTGTGGTAAAAAAAAATTTTATTCGCAATTTTATTCTCGATAACTACATCGTAAAGGCACGTCACAATAATTAAGAACTTAAATAATTATATAACATGAATAATATACTCTTTGTTCCGATAATACGGCACGGATTGCGTTTATATAAAATTTTTATATATCAATTTTTTTCGAATTATATCGCATTTAACTTATATATATAATTCAACATTTTTAGAAAATCTAATATACGGTTCTCAGAGAAATATATAAAACTGTTTGATTTAACAATTTTACATATCTAATTAAATATATAAGTATATAAATATATAACTATTAGTATTAATATATAAACACAAGCATGAGATTAGAATAGATGAGAAGATTTAAATAGAAAAGTAGCATATTTCTTACTATATAAAGAGGTCATTTTACAAATTGATAACGATACTTTAAAACTCGTATTTAACATATCTTCTATATAATCTTCATTAAAACTTTATAATAGTTATATAAAGTGTATATATATATATATATATGTAAAAAGAATAACCTAAGAAAGACAACATATCGATGAGATATATGAAGAATACATATATATATGTCAATGTAGTCATATTCACGGCACAAACAATGAACGCTAAGTGGCTGAGAAACAATTTCTACCATTGTATCTGTCTTATACATAATTTCGTTGTTTATTTAGAGATTCTATTCCTGATAAAATACTTAACGTTGCGAATAATCCGTTCAAGACACGGCGCATAAATTATCCACCATTGTTTTGTTTTTTTATGTACAATATTGCTTTTCTCTGGCAGACTATATACAGGTTTATTTAATAACCTTTGTTTTGTTCTTTTTTTGACGATTGACTATCTCAGAGCTGGAAATTATGTTGCGAATGATTGAGAGTATTCGTCGACATGGTGTGCACCGGATGCGACGGTGCCGGCGAATACAGACTATGATGCGAATGCGACTTCGCCCTGGAGAGCTCGCTGTACCGGTCCTGTTCAGGTGGTGCCACCAGGAGAACCGGTCTTAAAGACAAGGACTTGCGGGATCCGGCTACGCTCTGTGCCTCATTGATGTAGCCTGGATTTACTTCGCCTGGAACAAACAAAAAATTGACGTCATTAGATGTCAAGTATAGTACTTTTCATTGAAGATTTAAATAGTTGATTTACTCGCGAATATAATTAATGAAGTAATTATAATTAATAAATATAATTAATGAAATTTTAAAAGAATCTTCAAAGAATTGCCGTTAATTACCTTTGTACAGGGACCCGTTATTGAAAGGCTCCGGTTGCAGCCTTACGTGTCTGGAGGCCAGGATGAAGGCAAGAGCCGACAAGGTAGCCGCGTCCAAAGCCGCAATTGCAGCCAGCGGTATCGCCCATCTCACGGCACAGGCGCCAGGATTGTATCTGTCGAATAGTTTCTTAATTACCACTTTTCTCACATTTATCGTTATCGCGATTATATTCTTAATAAGACGGTTGCGGTTACTTATCGCGCCACACCAATAATTCGCACGCGTGCGAACACGCATTTAATTAAGAAATTTAATACAATGAGAGTGTACTTGTGCAAGGTACAATTGATAGTAATTATTTATATTAGCTATACATATATTTTGGTGAATTTAAAGGCGACTTTCTCTCAAGTCGGAAGAAAGTCTTTCTTCTGACAAAAGAAAGTTTCTTCCTGCCGAAAATTAATACAAAATAGTTTTTATAAAATCAGCTTCAAAATGCGTAAAGTGTAATAACAAAGTTCTAATCTATCGATATTTTTATATCCTTTTTCGAGATCTATATTAAAGTTCGTTGAAAGAAATTGTTCGAAAAAATATATATTTTAGTCTTTAATTATAAATATAGAAAATAAATAATATATATAACAAAATATCTTTAAATCTAAAGAGTTAAAAGTAGAATTAAATCTAAACATATATTACATCTACTATATATATATATATATATATATATATATATATATAATAGGAAAATATATATGTACAATATATACACCGCAAAAATATGTACCTAGATGCAGCTGCACCGCATACGGCGCGAATCACAGGCGAATCCCAACCCAGAGGATAGATGCACACTCCGACTGCCATGCAAATCGCTGAAAAGAATATTCGGAATATCATATTCCAGTTACATAAGACGATATTCAATTACATTTACAAGGCGATCTCGCTGCTACATGAAACGCAAGCGATCCAAGTTCTCTCTTTTTGAGATAATTATAACGTTAGACGTACAGAAGCATAAAAAATTAGATTAATGATAAACGTTAAGCGCGAGCAATATTTCTCGACTTAGTGACAAGTCTGATTTACTTTAATAACACACGTTTCGCCGAGGCGAATTACTCGCGAGATTCTTCTCTCTGCGGTTCTCCGTTCATTTACATTCATACATCCGCAGTCTGTAGGAGTTTGTAGGAGTGTTCATGACATTTATATGCATGTACGATACGCGGATGTGTGATTGAAAAGACTAGGCGAGAAGTCCCGGTAGTGAAAGGAACTTGGTTACAGCTGTAACTTTTGTAAGATGAGCGATCTTACTTAGAACTTGGATGCACACGCGCGCGTTCACACTCTAAAAAACACAGAGAATCCCAATAATCTTCATAATTTGATATAATTGGAACTCATCCCGTCTCGTCTCTCAGGTGATACATTCACCTCATTCGCGCGGTTTCACGCTACGAGTTCGCGAGCGAGCGTTTCGGTCTGTAACTTTCACTGTCGTGACGTTAAGCCATATATAATGCCAGCTCGCGCGTTTGCCGCACGAATTTACGCCGAAACTGTTGCTAGACTTGTTGTATTAAAGACTTATGTAAGTTACACTCGTTAAACAAATTATATATGCGCATCTCGCAACGTCGTGCGATGCAATATTATGCAATTTTCACATATAATTGTAAAATAATATATAAACGAAGGAATTACTTTACGTGCAAAAAATAAAAGATAATATGTTGACAACCGATATCGAGAGGCGCATATTTGTCATAATTAATGAAATAGGTCAGCGAATGCGAAAATTAAAACTTGCATACATTTCGCTCTCGATAAAATTAATCCGAGCAATTGAGAGAGGAATGCAGTTTGCATATTGAGAGATGTAGTCTCGATACGAAGTTATTGCAGCGGAATATCGACTCGATCGCAGTCGGTTTCCGTTAATCATAGAGACATTGACGAACGGTATATGCAGAGAGTGGCTCGTGGGCACGTTATAACGGTCTATTCTACATTTTGCCACGAGTCATCGGACGACGTTTACGATTGCAAAACCAGAAGCTACTCAGATATCGCGCGTGCGTCTAAAAAAACCGCGTGTTTCAACAACGGATTCTCAAAAGAGCGGACAAAACCGTATTACAATTAGAGAAGCAATAACGCGGAAACGCTAACAGTTATACGCGTGAATAAGGCGAATCTTTTTATTAAGGAAATGTATTTAACGCAAATTGTTTTTTTTTTAATAATTTTAGACCATCTAATAAAAATCTACTGAATCAAAAAAGGGCGAAACACGCTTCCACATAATTTACAGCCTTATACTTTTTAGAAGAAACAAGATAGAAAAAGAAAAATATCGAAAAGAAAAAATATACAGTATTGCCTAAATAACTCTTATAACGGTTCAGTCAACGTGAACGTCATCCATGAATGAAGTGGTTATTCTCGCAATGCTATGTTATTATTACGTTCAGTCATTGCACAAGCAATGTTGGACAATCATCCAAGCGATTACCACGCGCTTTCTAAACCGAGAAAATGTCGATGCGACATTTTATTCATGAATTCAATAGTGCGCATATAAGCGTACAACATGAAAGAAAATATATACCATATATATATTTTTTTTATTATACATATATCACGCGAGCGAGTCTGAAATTTATAATTAATTTCGACCGACCCGGATCTCTCCGCGCAAAATTTTCGCGAAAGAGCTTTCTCGCGAGCGCAAAACCGTGACAAGAGAACAATTTCCTGTGACGATCGGTATCGCTCTAAAATCGCGTTATCCCCCACACATCCGAGGCAGATGAAACCGATCGATATACATACATAGCAAGTTCGTTATGATAAATGTCACACGTTAAGCGGAGCGATTACGTCATTTCCCGGCCTACCCCGGGAACGGCGCGGCGTATCGGTGCAATTTGCAATTGCATCTCGCTGATAAGGAATTACTGTCGAGATTGCAGTAATGGGTCGCGCGAGAGCTGGCCTAGAGCTGGCGTTGCACTTTCTAAAATAGAAGTCTCGTCTGCGCCCGTCGCGGAAGGCAATTCTCTTTGAGAATTGAGAAATCGATGCTTTTCTTTCTTCCCTTTTCAAGAGGCATAACGAAGGGTAACGCTACCTGATACCACTTGCATCCAGGCGCACATGTAGAAGACGGTGGTGCTTTGGCAGAAGAAGAACATCAGCATCGCGCAGATCGCCAGCAACGCAATCAGCACCGCGATACCGACTAGGATAGTGCTGGCTCGGAAGGGAACGTTGGCGATTGTCGACAGATCGTCCAGTCGGCCGATACATTCCTCACCTAACTCACCTGTAAAATTAAGCGATATAAAATCAAATAACTCGAATTATAATCGATTAATTCTTTCTTTTAAAATTATTACCAGGAAATATTGAAAGAAATATAAGAGAAATAATAATTAAAAAATATAAAATATAATATCTAATATTATATACATATATGTAATATTTTAAATTAAATGTTTATTTATTGTGTATAATTATTATATTATTTTTATTATATGATTATAGTAAAATAGATGTATTTTGTGTGTAATAATCTTTTCTACCAGTTAGAGAAATCAATTCTTGTATATAGAAATTAATAGTTTTTTGAACTAAAAAGATTATTACAAAATATATCTATTTCACTAATTATATAATGTAAAAATAATATAATCTATACATAATACATACATTTTAATTTAACAGTAATATTATGTAATATAATTACATTTAATATTACATAACATTACTTTTGAATTTATTACATTATATTATTAAATGTATTACATTATATTTAATTACAAAATAATATTAAATGTAATATTATGTAATATTGTTTTCTTTCATTTTTAATATTATTTATTATATTGTATTTCTAGGTAATAATTGAATAAACCAAAAAAATAAAAATTATTACAAAATACATCTAATCATAATCTAACAATAATATAATGTTTTATACATAAAAGAATTGTTTTCTCCAATTGAGAATAAACATACCATTACCGCCGTAGCTGCATCTGGTCCACAGACCGAATCTTCCTGGATTCTCGTGTTGCAAATCGCCGAGCCATTCCGGCGTAACGAACGCGACGACGCCGATGATAGCGTAGCATATGGTGAAGATACCCCACAGCACGCCGATCGCCTTGGAATTACGAATGTAATTGGTCGCGTACATGTGCGAGGACTCGACGTACTCGATCTTCGAACCCATCCTGCTGAATCGTCACCACAACTAATCGATCAACGCGACAAACAACAAACTCGATGTCTCGACCGCGAGGCCGGTGATCGAAAAAACGCTCCTTTTTCCACGCGAAATCATTCAACCGTTAACTCCAGCGGAATTCCGTAGTTCTGTACAACAACGGAACGGTCGAGAGAAAGATCGGTGAATTGAAAAGAAAAAAAAGAAACTGAAGAAAATCCTACATAGAGCTTTCTTCGCGCTGACCTGAACAGTTATCACACCTGACGAGAAGGTCGTTGATCTTGAAGGAGCGTGTATATATGTTCACTACCGTCCGATTGTTCGACAACAATGGAACCACCATGTGTATAAGACACACTAGTCACGCGGGTCACATTCGTGCGGTGGGGAAATTCTTATTCTCTCCTCGTGCGCGAACAAAGAGAACCCGTGTACTTTCGCTGCTTCGAAACGACGATATTACACGACGATTTCTCGCGATTTAAAAAACGCTCTCCCTTCGCGGGGGTCTGACGCGATGATATCTCGAAGAATCGTGGAACTCCGGGTCTTGGGTCTCACAATAATAATAGCGCAGTCCCGGACGGATCCTCTTAAGTTGTTTCCTGGCTGTTTCTTCGATCCTACTGCGTGTATATTCCTCGAATAATCAACGATGGCACGATCGTATTCCCATCGTCCGTGACATTTGGTCTCGGCTCGCGTTCACGGGTCGCTGAAGATTGGCACAGGCACCTCTTTCCACTCTGCACTACGGAATGCAAAAGGAACACAGAATAAATAGGAGTCTTTTTCAAACAGTCTTTCGCGAGATTACAAAAAATTCATTAACAATCATAATTAAATTCATATCCTAGCTCCAAAAACTAATAATAATTATATAAATAATAAGCAAGACCAACGTTTCGCCGTGACTCTGAGGCGCTGTACAAGAACTCCAACTCACCGTGCGTTCTTCGGAGGCGGACACTTTTCGCGGAAAAAACCTTCCGAATCGAGGATACCGGTGACGTCACCGACGCAGGGCCTTATCGAAGAATGCGCGAGGGAGGAGCCAGGTGGAGGCTGCGCGAACGTTACCGGCGTGATCTCCGTTGCTCGCTGGCTGCGTCGAGGCACGTCGAGACCTGCATGAGATGCACACGCGGCGCATGCGACCGGCTGCAAGGACGAGCGGAGAATGCCCGGGAGAGAGACGAGGAGCGCGATACTGCACGGCGCGCCTCAAGATGGCCGTCCGGAGTCCGGGTAGGCCTCTCTCAGGTTGCCAGGTGAGCGTGCTGAAAGGAGAGAGAGAGAGAGAGCGCGAGTGAGAAAGAGGAGAGAATAAGGAGGCCCCTATCGTGAATGGTCCCTTACTTACGGAACCTTACAGAAGAGAAAGGTGACATCGAAAAGGTGGCACACACGACTGATTTTGTCGGAACGGATTTCTGCGTCTGCGACTCCATTCCGCGACAATTATATAAATTGCAGAATTTTTTAAAAATTATTCACTATAAATTATAATCATATTATATATATCATTATATAAATTATCATTATAAATTATTATATATTTTTTTAATTATAAAATTTAAAAAATTATATAATTTATTTTTTTAAATCTGCATTTTTTTAAATATATAGAAAACATTTGTATTTATATGGAAATAATATTTGATGATATACTATTTATTGCGAAATTGATTATTTAAAAATCTTGCGATATATATATATATATATATATATATCTTATTTAATAATTTATATATTAATTAATATCTCGAAAGAGAGAGATGAAATGTCGGATGCTAGAATAATTATATTAAGATATATAGAAATACCTTTCTCTTAATTTAAAATTTTTTTCTTTTGGTAGACTTTTGCCTTATCGCGAGCTCGCATCGCGGATGCATCGGATACAATAAAGTAAAGTTGCATCTTGCATCGCGAAGAGCCGCATCCCGGCGCCCTCTGGTGACTCCTTACCAAAGTTCCGCAGGAAAATTCGAAAATGGCGAACCGCACCGTGAAAGATGCTAAATCTATTCGCGGAACGAATCCACAATATTTGGTGGAAAAGATCATCAGATCTCGGATATACGACTCCAAGTACTGGAAGGAAGAATGTTTCGCCTTGACAGCGGAATTGTTGGTTGACAAGGCGATGGAGTTGAGGTTAATAAAATCAAAACATAACCTCTCTGAATTACTCTTGCTTCAATATTATTTATCTTATCTTCAGTCGTTTGACAGATGAATATCAACATTTGTGAAAGAAAGTAATTATAAATTTTATTTTATTTTTTTTATAGATTTATAGGAGGAGTTTATGGTGGCAATGTGAAGCCCACTCCGTTTCTGTGTCTCATACTAAAAATGCTTCAAATACAGCCTGAGAAGGACATCATAGTCGAGTTTATAAAAAACGAGGAGTTTAAATACGTTCGCGCATTGGGTGCATTGTACATGAGATTGACTGGCTCTTCTCTGGACTGTTACAAGTATCTTGAACCATTATTCAACGATAACAGAAAGCTCAGGATGCAGAACAAGCAGGGTGTGTTTGAACTTATCCACATGGATGAATTCATTGACTATCTTCTCAGGGAAGAAAGATCTTGTGATGTTATTTTACCCAGGATTCAAAAGAGATATGTTTTAGAAGAGAATAATGAACTAGGTACAATATTTCAATCTAAAGTATTTCCTACTAAAAGGATATAATATGATTTAGCCATACCTCTCTCTATGTAAATATAATCATTTATGTTGAACAGAGGCGAAGATATCAGCATTAGAGGATGATATGGATGATGGTATTGAATCGTCAGAGGAAGAAGAAATTCCACCTGTTAAGGAATCACCACGCAAAAGACCAGATGATCATGAACGGGAAAGAGATCGTCACAGGGACAGGGACAAGAGGCATTCTCGATCTGAGAAGAAATCTGAGAAGGAGAAGCAGAGGTCGAGGAGCAGAGAAAGGGAAAGAGACAGAGACAGGAGGGAACGTAAACGCAGCAGATCACCGAAAACTCACTCGTCGTCGCACAAAGATAAAGATAGGGAAAGGGATCGTCACAGAAGAGATGACAGAGATAGAGAGAGGGAGAGAGAAAGAGAAAGAGAGCGAGATCGGAGGAGAGAACGTGATAGAACTAGGCATTAAAATATGACGAGGCTTTGATCGAGTGTTTATATAGATCGAGTGAATGGAAATTAAATCGATTGATGATCCTTTTCGTATCATTATTCGAATGTATTTAGCGCCGGTATGTGACACATTTAGGAATTCGGTATTAAAATCACAATATGCATCCGGAATCGAATCCGTATAACATATTCAAATATATATATACATTTTCATCCCTCATTTACGTTATATTACAATTGCTCTATTAAATAAAAAAATAGTGATCAATATCGTTACCGATACATAATGGACGAATAATAATTATATTCCTGCTTGAAAACTTATTACGATCATTTTTTACTTTGGAACCCTTATACCTAATGTATTTCTCACGCTTCGAAATAACGTTTGGTCGATGAACATTTCTATATCACTTTTATGTATTCTTAATAAATATAGAAAAACAAGAAAATACTTGCTATTTAAAATGTAGGCGAGTTCAGAATGAATAATCTTTCTTCCTCCTTCTTAATCCACTTTAATAACTTACTCACTGCCTCGATAGCGTCCGGTTTTGTCACTAGAGGCTCAAACGTTACATATAATTCGAAACCAGAAGCAACCTAGAGAAAGAGAAAATATATATGTATAAAATCAAACAAAAAACTTGCAATTGTAAAAATTTTTTTCTTACCCATGCTAGCATTGTTTCCTTATCCAGTTGTTGAAATATAAGTTTTAAGGGTCGACTAGGAGAATGCAATCTATGATGCAAACACTGATAAAGCCCCAATAATCTGAAAAAAATTGTATTTTATTGCAAGAGTTATAAATCGGCGTATACAAGTATTTGATTAAAGTTTGCAATTTTACCGTTCTATTTCTTCATCCGTAATGTAAGGCGCTTGAAGTCCGGGACTCCAAAATTGCGCTGTACTTTTGCACTTGTACAAAACATGCCGCATCTCCGGTAATCCGATGTCGGCAGTCGTTATCGTTGGTTTGTTCATCGACTCGTTTATCGCTTCTAAGCAATTCGTCCGCCGCAATTTCTCCACAATTTTCTATCACAAGAGAAATTAATTGGTAAATTTATATTGTTCACATATAATTAAATAAATTTTTAATTAATTTCGATTATTCTTACTTGCTTGGCGTCCGACAATACAAAAAATACATCCCTATCAACAGTGAGTAATAACAAACACGCCTGACAATCTTCCGACAGATAAGAAACATGACCGTGCATGTATCCATTGGAATCGAATTTCGGAAGGCATATAGGTGTCCAGCTTTCCGCAGTTTTGAGTGATTCGGAACTGTCTACTAGATTTTGTATTATATGCAAATCCATTGGATGTAGAAAAAACTTGTTCATTCTGACTAATGTTACCAATTGATTGTTAGCTAGAAGTATTGCGAATACTAAATTCTGAAAAATATGTAAATTGCTTTAATAACAATGTTAATATTAATTTCATAAATGAGTAAATATAACCTTTACTGTTTTTCATACCTTGATTTTAGCACATGTTTGAATGATGGTTTGTGTAATAGAACTTCTCATCGAAGGAAGTAGGGGCAAACATTTAATGGCCCCTAGAAAAAAAGCTGGCTCTCTATCCATAAAGTTCAATAAATGATCTATCAGTCTTTCACTGCCAGTTAGTAATCTTCGTAGATCAAAGTTTCTTCTTTGATCATATACTCTATTCAACTGAGACTGCGTTAACACAGAGATTATCTGATTATATACATATCTACAATAAATATACATGTACGCATGAATATATGAGATGTAATATATTTTATCAAGATTACACAGATTTCAGATAATACATACGTTAACTGTAAAGTGAGCTGAGGTACACTTTCCAAAGTCTTGGACACTGCCACTAAAATCAATGGACCCTTTACAACGAAAACAAAGTTTGTGTCACCCGCGTGTACCGATCTAATCATATCGCTGCCCGCTTGAACAAACGACACTAGAGCTTGCATAACTCCCATAACTGTGACTAGTTTGTCTTCTGAACTGTATCTAGAGTATATCGGCTTCCCCGCCTGACTCAAGATAAAGATATGCTTCTTCTGCGCCAGCCACGTTTTGCAACGCAACGGGTCTCCGTCTAGGCTACTCTGACTTAAACGATGCGCGACGTCGTCCTAAAATATAGTAAAATATAATAAATCTATATATTATTTACTATTATTTACTATTATCTATATATTAGTTACTATTCGAAACAAATTGTTACATATACAGAGTATCCCATAGGAAATTGCTGAAATCAGCTGTCATTTTTTAATGCACCCAGTTATTGAGAAAACAAAAATTGTGTTGAAAAGAGGAAAATCTACATTTTTTAATGAATATAAATAAAATGTTTGTATACTAGTTTATTTTATTGAAAAAATGCATGCATTAAAAAATGACAGCTGATTAGTTTCAGCAATTTCCTATACACCCTGTATGATATATGATCAAGAAAGAGAGGAAGAACTGACCATCTCGCCATCGTCGAGGGAGAGGGTCTTCTCGGAATCTCGCGGACTCGCGGCGATGGGAATGTCCTTGGTAACGTCCTCCTGTATCTCGGAGATGGTGCTGGTGGTGCTCTCCTTCATCTGCCTGTCGCCGTCGATGCTGCTGCTCATCTCCTGCTCGTACTCGTCGAAGCTGTCGGTGGTGACGAGCATCATCTCCGAGGAGGCTCCGGGCTCGATCCCGGGTTCAGCTATACCGTCGTCGATCGACTCGACGACGACGGCCGGTTCCTTCGCGGCCATCTCTAACGTCAGCGATGAACGTCGCTCACAAATATCAGCGATTCTCGTCCCTGGGCGTTTGACGTTTATCTCCGATGACAGACCATCGCAGCCCGGCCGCCATCGTTCAACTCCTCACTCGCGAAGCTGCTAGGAACTAGGAACGCGTTATCGAGGAGTTTATCGATGAGCACATCGACAACGGGGATTTGTTCGTTTCGAAACGAAACCTAAATAAAGGCTGCCGCTTCTTGGACAAATATGTGTCGATTGGCTATCGGCTTTCTAGAGGATTTCTAGACTCATATCCTATTTTTATAGATTTTATTAGTTAATATTATTAATTATTGTTATTATATTAATGATAATGCAATTAGAGAGAAGCTCTCTGATGCAGTTGATGTGCAATAAAATACCTGTCAATTAACGCTCATAATTCAGTCGGTAATGTAGTTTCCAAGCATTAATTGAAAAAAATTCCTCTCTATATGCGCATTCGTAATATCAGAAAACTATTTTCTATTATAAAATTATTAATAATAATTAGTAATATCATAATATTTTAACTTTAACCAATTAAACAATATATAATAAACGAGTATAGCTATTTTTACTAACAATAAGCAAGATTATACATTACTTCTCAGTACTCGGTACAAAAGTATAAATATTTATCATAGAATTAACTTTTAATAATATTTTTTAATATAATCTTTATATTCCAAATGTTTGTGCGCATAAAGAGAGTTCTTGAATTCGGACTCACCAACAACATATGTTAATATATTGTATATATGTCATTTTTATATGCTATATTTATATATATAATATATTTTGACAATTGCATTAGTCGCAATGAAAAAATCATATTTTAGTATTGTACAATTATTCACATTTTGCACATTAAAACGCGCATCACGCGCTTATAACAATAAACTTCGAGACTTCCGAGTAATACATTCGAGCATCGAATTAATAACATGCCTTTTGGATTGATTTCATTCGTTATCCCATTCACCAAAGAGAACATTTCTTGTCCGGATTCATTCCCTTTCCAGCTGGGCAATTGTAAGCTGCAGAAAATTCGGGGAAATTCGAAAGACTGCCTCGTATTCTTGTCTCCCCTCTAGGATGCTCGTCGAGCAACAGCACTTGTAATTGTTGCGGCGTAACATTTTCGCAGAATGCCTAAGAAAATAGATTACGGATTATAACTTTTTGTGATTATATTCTTTAGCGATTGCCTGTATTAACAAATAGTTTTGCATCGTATATCTGCGTATGCATATACATATATCGACATTTTAATATAATATACGTACATGCGCAAAACTCATGAAGAAGATCTGATCGTCGCTGAACTCCTCGAGTCCTGCCAATCGTACCTCAGACTTGTTCAGCTTCGTTTTTTTATTCCTGTATGCGTAATACGCTGCTGTAACGCCAGCTGAATCGCCGATGTTTTCTCCTAACGTCAATCGTCCATTCACCTGCAAAATTTCGCATCATGTTTTATATTTTTTAAATATATTTTATGTAAAAAAAAGATCAATATAGATAAAAAAAAGCTTCTAAGCAATGCATAAATTGTGAAAGATATCATTCGGGAGTTTTACTTCGATGGAAAACACTTGAAAGAAACATTGAAAAGATTAGGATACAATCTCTCTCGTAGAAAAATTATATAAGGTAATAGAATTGAGAATATGATCTCTGTTGAACTCGATTACTTACATAAACTTTTTCTTTTTCCAAGCTTGGTACTAGGTAACCGTTGTACTGGTCAACAAAACATTGCGCCAATTGTTCATATTTATCGATAGTTTCCTGTGTCCACCATTGTATGGCATTGCCGTTTTTATCATATTTACGACCTACAAAAATGATATGTTATACATACCACAATATTTCACGGTTGTTACAATTAAAAAATTACCAAGATTATCAAAGCCATGATTAATTTCATGTCCAACGACAACTCCTACTGCTCCATAGTTCATATACCTGATGAAAGAAGTTATATAAATTAAAGAGAATGTAAATTAAAAAAAAAACAGCTATATATTAAGTGAAAAATAAAAATATATAAAAGAATTGTCTTTGATTAAATTTTTCGAGAAAAAAATTTTTTTTTTTAAATATAAATACTTACGCAGGATGATTTCTGTCATATACAGGATCTTGCGATATAGCAGCAGTAATAACTAAAATAACGACAAAATGAGTTAATAATAAATGTTTTTAATTGTTAAAATATTAATAAAAAAGTGAATATAAAAATTCTCAAAAATTTACCGATTTCATTGCCGGATGGATTGTAATAAGCGTTCACTATTGTTGGTTCCATAAGCCATCTGTTACAGAGAAACAAATATAGCGTTATATATGTTCTTTGATATTTTGTGTGACTTTTTCTTATTTCAATTCTCTAACAATTTTGTCGTAGTAGTCATTAAATCAATTAAATTTAAATAAATTAATATTATATTAAATAAATCTCACTCTGTTTTGTCGACGGGTTTTCTCAGCTTGCCCAATATTCTTTTGGTTTCGTAATTCATTATATTTATTACACTTTCGAGATAGTCCCTTGTGACAGATAACTGAAATAGATATACATGATTTTTATTATACATATTTTTCAGTATATACATCTATGCTCCTGTATAAAAAAAAACTATATTATTAATTGTATACAATAAATTGTAAATACTTACGCCTTTGTAATATTTGTCAATAGCTTTATTACTGTACCAATCGGGTGTGAGAACTTGCATTCTCATGTAAGTCAATTTTTCGAGAGATGCCTTTTTCGTAGCGTCGTCCATCCAAGTAGACGCAGAGATTTGCGAACGAACGACATCCTCGATGTTCGTGATTATGTCGATGAGCTAAAGTAAAGGATCTTTGCGTAATTTATTTATGAAAGTTACGTCAAATTCGATTTTGTATCTTGTTCAACTAGCACAATGTCTTACGTCTTCTTTATTTTCGTGTTTTACGTATCTCTTGGCGTACTCGTGCGAGATGGCAGAGTCCAAATTAACTTTGGACACGCAATTCTTCCACCTTGAAAAAAATTTTATTTAATTAGCATCAACTTCGTGTACATTATAGAATTATTGGATACTTATTGAAAATAAATTCAAAAATAATTTTTACAGAGAGTAAGTTAAAAATAAAATTTTAGCTATGGACATATATAATGATAAATTGCAATATTTACCATTTATAATAAAATAGTTGTTACGTGTCTCTTATAATAATTAAAATTTTGAACTTTATATACTGTTATTGCATTAAATTTCTCAAATACGTGTGACTGTATATTTTTTCCATATATATATACATATAATAAAATAGACGTACCTTATATTGTCCTTCCGCTCTCCCTTGAAATGTTTAGCAAGTTGGATAGCAATTGCTTCTGTACGTTCGGTGTAAGGTAACAGAGCTCTAATCAGATTCCATTGCATGTAGTTAACTACAAATAATCAAATTAATGAGATAATTAAAATTCCTTATCTAAATATAAATTCATAGTGTTCTTTTAAATATTCCGAAAATCTTACTGATAGTACGACTGGGCGTTCGCTCTAATAGTGGTACTAAATTAGTAAGGTATTTGTACGCGTGAACGACAACTTTCTCGGATGATGTAATTTTTTTCCAAACAATCTTTGAATACGTTCCAACCAGTTTATCTGTAATACAAATAACAAAATAGAATATAAGTCGAACGATAAAAATAGATTTATTACATGTATAATGCATATTCAAAGCATATTAAGTTCAAACCAACCTTGCCCTTTATAGGATGTTGCTTGTCATAGATTTGTTGCAATTCTCCAATTGTTAATGCATTGTAAACTTCATCGATATCTCTACTGTCTTCGAGATCTAATGTCAGCTGCAATAGATAAAACAAACAAAATAGAATAAGTCAATGCCATCCACTTCGTAAATTTCTTTCATTAAATGGATTAAAATAGTTTTTATGTTAATTAAAGAAAAATAGAGGAGAAAGATAATCTCGTGCAATGTTAAAAACATTGTCGGTGATGTAATATTATGATAATACACAAATTGACAAGATATCAATAAAAAGAAGAAAAGAAATATTAGGAAACGAAACAAGATTAATTCAAATGTTAAAATTTTAATAACAACCTTAGCCAGTTCAATCTCGAAATTCGCGATGTCAAGCGCATCCTGAGATACTGTCGCGTCGTCGACGTAGGAACCTCTATCGTTTATAAAGATGTTAGCAACTGTTTTGATGTAGGACGTGTACGTCATCTTCTCCGCGAGATCTTTCTCCAGACTGATCACGATGTCGCGCGGTGCGAAGAAGACAGGTTCCAAGATCTGGAAAATTACAAGATTGTTTCTATAAAACTGTTCTCTTTTTCTCACTTCATGCAACATTTTTTGAATATGAAAATAATATACATACGGTAATAACATTGTTGTCAGACTTTTTGTCATCTACCATCACTGTTATACCGTACAGGCCGTTGTCGAACAAATTTCCCTGCAAAATGTTGCTAACTTGTTGCCAAGTTTTAGGTCCTCTTGATACCCATTCGAAAGGGGACATAACAATCGGCCATCCACCGTTCTCTCGCACAATTCCACTAAGACTGTTGATCCCAATTTTTTTAAGTGTCTCTGATAAAAAATTGAAAAAAGATAACTTAAACCTCCTTATTTAAATTTCAGAATTAGCAGAATTTATTTCATATATATATTATATTTTATATATATGGTAAAATAAATTCTCCATCATAATTAATCTATTCTCAATACAATACAATTGAATATACATACGGGTATCCATGCACATTCTGTATACCTTCCTTGCCTTTTTCAGAGAAAGTGTGTCATCCGATCTAGGACCATCTTCTAAGATTTCTGCGGATACACGATAAAGAATGATTATACAGAAGTTCATAAATTATGCAAAGATATTGATTTAATGTAAATATCTCGTTAATATAGAACGTTAGGATAATTAAATCTAATTAAATTAATAAATTAAATAAATCTAAATTAAAAAAATATAAATTAAATAATTAATGTAAATATAATAATGATTTAATGTAAATATCTCGTTAATATAGAACGTTAGTATAATTAAAGTAATAAATTAAATTAATAAATAAATCTAAATTAAAAAAATATAAATTAAATAAATCTGAATAAATTTAATAATTAAATATAATTTAATTGGTATTTCGTACCTCTTAATTGCTGCGATGTTTCCTCATTAATCATCGACAGCGTGCTAATTCTTGGATACGAAATATTCGCCGGATTATTTTTTGCCCATCCACCGCAAGCAAATTGATAGAAATTATCGCAAGGGTCAACTGTACGATCGAGTCTGGCTGCGATCTTGGACGCTGTAAAAACATAATGTAATAGAAAATGATTAATTTTATAAAAGAAAAATTAACGAAATAAGGCGACGAATTAAAGTACATACCTGTATCTACACAATTTGGCGTGGAACATAATGTGTAAGCCTGATTATTTTTTGGAGCTGCGAACGTAACGTATGCATACGTTACAGTCACTAAGAAAACTCTGCAAGTTTTTTTTAATTTGAAAATGATAGATTATTGTAAATTATTAACGAGCATGCTTCTTTAATAGCAGACTCTCATAGTTTCGAATTAATTTTATATTAAATAGTTTTTTAACAGCTGGACGTGAATAGCAGCATTATAATTAATAGTATTAAAATATATTTATACAATTTTTTACAGATTTTTAAGTAATAATTTTGATATTAATAATTGTTTAATTCAATATTAACCAAGAGCGACTCATTGCATTATTTTATATTAGAGAAGTATTAAAGATAAGTCTCTTACATGAAGGAGCAATGCATGCTTTGATCTCTTCACTGAAATTGAACTATATGAAGCCGGAGATTTCTTTTGTAAGAAAGCATCCGACGCGAAGTTTTGCTAATATACTGATGGAAAAATGATATCTAATTATATAATAACACATTAACACCATTACACAATCGCACATGGATAATACAATAAAGAATCTTGTATATAAAATGTTTCTGCATGAAATGAAGCAAAGCACTTGCCCAAATATTGCATATACGTTCGACGCATTTGATACTTGCAATAAATATTCCGCAAATATATAAAAAATTTTTACGCAAATAAATATATAAAAAAATTTTGACCTCCAAATCTGAGAGAGAAAAAAGAGAGAAATACTTTATTCCAAATCTTATTTTAATTTTGATATTATATATTTTAAATATATATCATGTAATCATTTTTTTCTTTTCTTTTAATTTAAGTATTTTTAATTATTTTATGATCTTCAAAATTTAAGTTTCCTCAAACAAATTTTGGAAAATTTTACTAAAGTTTTTGATCACAGACTAATTCTCTCTTCTCCCAAAGAAATTAGGCAATTATTATTATTAATGACATTATTTTAATTAATAATTCCAAGTAAAAAAAATTTAAACTGTTCCTAAATATACATTTCGTGTTCTTGTAAAATGAGGAAGATTATATTATTATAACAGCTAAATCAACACACATGATGTTTATACGACTACGTATCTCTGCGTTTACATTCTATTAAAATGACAAAGATTTCGTAATTATACGAAATATGCGTATCATTATTGACAATCTGTTTTTCTGCGCAATAATTAATGTCAACTTACAATTAGTAAAGAGATCATCTCTTAATCGCAATGTTTTTAATAGTTTTAAATACTGATTTTTTATTTACTCATTAGTTAATCTGATTTAAAAAAAACATTTTTCTCTAAAATGTACAATAATAATTAAGATATTATATTATGCATTTTAGAGAATAAAAATCTAGCTTGTATTATTATTATTATTTAATAATATTCACATTAATTTTTTTTCAAGTATTATATTAAGAAAATTTTTATTTTTTTAAATAAAATAATTTTAAAAAAATATTTTATTATTATTATTAAATATTTTATTTTATTACTTCATATTATTTCATTGATAACATCTGACTAGAAGAATCGTTATCATTGTCTTTTTTCAAGCGAATCTTAATGCAAAGAAAGACAAAAAGGAATATTTTTATACATCAAATGTATATTTCATCTTTCCAATAGTACACAATGTCATCACGCGAGCACACATAAATAAAAAAAAACATCCATAGCAAAAGCTATTCACGTCAGTAAAAAAAATTACATACTCATAATAATCTTGAGTTATAAATGAATTACTCTCTCTACATCTTCGTGATTTTATTAAATATTTCTTAAATCGAGGACCCTCTATCAGGACAGTTTAAAAAATTATCAGCTGCTTTTTTCATGTATTTTTATCTTATACAATTTACAAATGTGGCGAAGCAAACAACATCGTGGAAACTTCTCATGCACACACACACATACAAGCGCAAAAACGTGTGCTAAATGCAAACTGCTTACGCCTTCTTGAAAGCTATCGTCTCGTCATAGAGAGCTTTTATATTTGTCAATTTTATTACGATGACATAATCTCGGAGAAGTTTAACAATATTAATTACTTCTCAATATATAAACCTTGCTTTTTCTTCGCCTGACTCATTAGGCTTAAAATCCAAGCTATCGAGCATCAGTTTAACCAATGATGAGATTCGTACGAATATATATATTGTATATATATACACGTAAAAATCTATAATCATAGAATTTCTGTTTTCACTATATACATATTCCTGAATATGCAAGTTCTCGTACGTATTTTGCAATCAAATATAATAAAATACGCGTTTAAATCTATCTAATCCAAATATGCATTAAAAGATATGTAATTAATAAGTAATATAATTATTAAATTATATAATTTAATTATATGTACCATAATTTTTCAAATATTTATTCACTCATCTTTGAAATTGGTCTTATACTTTACTATTAAATACTTGCAGTGAATGATTATTATTAAATCATGGAAGAAGATGGAAGATTGCAAAAAAATAAGAGCAATTGTGATCAAACGTATGAACGTATTACCTTCAAATTTCATTCAAGATATGCTTTACTATAATTATTAAGCATTTAAGAATAAAAAAGATAATCTAAATGCATGTATAAGTATATAATTTATCAATAGACCATAATGCTTATCTAATCACAACGCAGAAATGTTCAAAATAATACGATAGAGAGACTAAAAGAGGAATAAACCTAACAGAGAATCGCATCGTCTTCTATCACCTATTATATAATTAATTTATCATTCTTGCACTTATTATAAACGCTATATTAAAGAGTGAAAATCATATAAAAATGTTGAAGTACAAAAGTTAAGACTATCATTATCGAGTATTCACTGTGCGTACTGTTACATTGCAGGACACAGGATAACAAGAGATACAAGGATTTCTGATACCCTTTCCTTGATAGGTGAAATATGATAGGTATTTTTTGTGTATTGCTACACATGTGCGCATGTATATGAACACATATATCAGTGTGTATATAAGTCTTATATATACTTAAAGCATATCTCTCTTGTAAATATGATCCTACAAATATAATTCATGAATTCGGGAATGCGTATTAATTAATGTAAATGTCAGTATAAATATTCAATCTTTTGCGTTTTTTAACTTATCCCTATTTTGTCTCCAAATATATACATATTATACTTTAAATTCACCTAAATGTATTTAAAGTATATATAGTATATATACATAGTTTATATGATATGCACTATAATGGAATAAATAAATGTGTACGCGCGCGCGCATGTCTTAAAGACAAAGAAAAATTGAGTATTGCATATGTTACACACAAGCATATAAATGTTTTTACTTTGTAATAAAATTACTCAAAAGTATGTTTAAAAGTATAGATCAATGATTAATATCTTTATATTTCTTCTTAAGAAAAAAAAAAATAAAATACTGTCGAGTTATTCTCTCAATTATTATTACAACAGTCTATATTTCAATAAATAGAAGTTTTGAGAAAATATAATTTAAAAATTGGCCTTACAATTTTCGTAAACTGATGAAAATATCTCAAATAATCTTTTCAAATAAATATCTAAAAATATTTTTTAATTAAAGCGAGATTCAATACTCATCACATCATATTTCTTGCACAAATAAAATTTTCTATTACTGTTTTTCATGAAACAAACTACAGCATTTACCACATTATATATTCTGCGCAAAGCGAGGTCCAGCGCTTTCAACGCAAAAAAAAATCATATGTATTTTTCTTTAAATAGTATCTCTATCAAATTTCACGTGCGCCAAAAATCTTATTAAATACATACATCCCCGTCTCGAGGCATTGCAAAATTTCATTGAAAATTAAAGAATGGAATTCCCGGAATTCTCTTAGGCAATTTTACACAGAAGTTTCCGAATTTAACCGCAGAAGAAATTTGTTCGACTTAGGATGTGCCAATTGTTCAGTGAGATTAAAATGCGGAATTCTATACGCCGTGCACAAGAGTGCTATTTCGCCCTGCCTCAACTGAAACTCACAACCGTTGGCGATTGGACGAGAGGGTAGCTCTCCCTCGCACACCAAGGCCCAATGATGCGACCGCTTTTGTCTCTCTTTCTCGTTCGACAGCACCGGGCTCGTAACGAAGAACGGTTCCAGGAATGCGCGCGGCGCCGCATCTTGGGCTAAACATCGGGCAAGACGATTAAGAATCGATTCTACGGAGTGACGCGGCTGCTGTCGAGTGATTCTCAAGTATTTCTGCAGAGCCCTCGCCATGGAAGGAAATACCGCCTGCGCGGCTTCCATCGGATCCATCGGTCCAGAATTCGGCGTGGACTCCACCTCGGAATGCAGGCGTTTGATGTGCGCAAATGCCTCCTCGGCGGCGGTGATCAATCTCGCGCGGCGTTTACGTACCCGTCGTTCGTAATCGTGCTCCTCGTAGAAGCGCTCGTTGTGACTGGAATCACGGCGACGTGCCTGCGCCGCTAGAACCGCTCGGTCCCCGCTGCCTCCGCGCGACTGCAAAGCGCCAGTCACCCCGCCGTCAACTTCGTAGAACTTGAAGCTCGACTGCTTCCTGCCCGATTTCGAGACCGGCAATCTTTCCAAGTACGGATTATAAATCGGGAATTCCGTATAATACCTCTCCAAGACCCACACGGCCGCTCTCTGTATCGATAGCTGGCCGATCGCGTAGGATCTCGATTCACCATCCGGTGATCTGACGACCTGTCGACAAAGATATTAACGAGATATGTAATTCAATAATAAATATTATAGATTAATTATTATTAATTATACATATAAAATTACGCAACATTTACACACCTTTAGATAGAATGTAGGCTGTAGATGACGAATTTCAATAAGGAGCACAGCGACGTAGTGTATAAACAGAAGTGTATCAGCAAGGGTACCTGCATAATTTACTAAACTTTTGTACTCTGTTATTTCGCCATTGGCAGCAGTCTTAGCACTCTCAGTCACCTAAAACGTATCAATCAACCGTATATAATATACATTCGCTAAATTAAATACATATAGAAATTATATCACTACATAGATTTCCTTGTATACCTGTACAACGTAAAAAAGCCAATAAGTACAAATGCACAGCATGGTAAGCAGCAGCACTCCCGCTCTGAATAAAAATATGCGCGGCATAGTAGCGATTCGCGGGCGCAGAAATACCGCCCAGCTACCGATACCCAGTAGCACCAGTTTGAAGGCTAATCCTAACAGTTGGCCTTTGCATTCGGCGTTGCACGACAGTAGCTGTAGTTTCTGCTGCATCGTCAACACCGTCGTTGAGTCGGGAAAGAATCCCAATTTAGGCAAGATTACCATGGCAATAGGACTAAGAAAGGCGCTTATTCCGAGTATCATAGCCACGATTGAACCGAAGTAGCGATTGCAGCTAGAACCAAACGATCCATCGGTCTCGTTTGGCCAATGACTCACATCCTCGGTCGATTCCGATCTGTCCGAGGTGTTGCCGGTTACGGCTGTGGTATTCTCTCCCCAGTTCTCATCCTGTGGCAGTATCTGCACTTCGATCACCTCCTGACCCATGTTATCTACGCTATCTCCACGTACATTTACAGTTGTTTGGAACGGAGCCATTTCACTAGTGTCTAAATTCTGCCTCTCTTTCCTTTGACTTCGATTACTCCTGTTGTACAAAATTTATATATGTATATAATATATTTTAATATATAATGTATGATATATATATATATATATATATATATATGTATATGATATATTTTCATATACTTAACATATATTTAAGCATATTATATAGAAAAAAATTTAGATATGTATACATATACATATATATGCATATAAGTAAGAAAAAAATTAGATACGTGTATGAAAACATATAGATATATGTGTATATATTAATATATATTTAAGTATATGTATGTATGTATGTATGTAATACGAGTTTGTCAATACAGTTATAGTTTTAATATCGATATGGATGATTCGCTTTTATCTATATAACTGTTTCTACAACGGTAAAAAAAAAAGGGGAAAGAGGCAAATTAAAATTGACGAAATCTACCTGGTGGTCCGGTGAGAGTGTTGTCTGTGATGCTGCTTGGAGCTGTGAGACCGATGATGCTTCTGGGAGCTCCTGCTGTGGTGGCTATGGCTATGCTCGCTAGCCCCGGATTTCACGCTCTCCGTCTCCATTCCACGGCGAAGACTACCTGCCGCTCGCTACCCCATAAGAGCATACCCTCCTTCGGACGAGTTTACACATATGTAAATACGCGAGATGCGAAGAGACGCGAGCGCGCTCGGGATGATGTATCCGTCGTCGCGCTATCGTAGCGGCTCCGCGATCCAAGCACCCTCGGAACGTCGCGGCGTCGCGGCCACGTGCGCCCTTGACATTACGCAGCGAAGCCGAATGTCAGCGCCGAAGTACGGACGCTCGTCGAGCTGCCGCGCGGCGAGACGGGAAAGCGGGATCGGCGGAGCGACGACGATTCGCAAATCGGTTGTAAAACGCGTAAGTAAAAAAACGGACGCCGACACGCCTAACGTTTTATTATTCCCACCCCCTCCGTCCGGCTCCAAGCAGCCGGGCTACCACATTCCGTGGTAATTGCTCCGATTGAAAACACTGCCGGTCCGCTCCCTAGGGACATTTTATTTCGATTCTCCCCTTCCCAATGATGACTCACAAGCTTCGATTATGAAAGGTATAGATAGACGTTCGCGCGGAAATTCTGAAAGGGGTTAATAATCAAGGTTCATCCACATAAAAAAATAATATTAAATTAATAATAATAATAATGATGATAATGAATAATGAATATTATAATAATAATAATATGATAATAATATAAAATATTTCGAATTATTTTACAACCAATAATCAAGGTTTATTTACATAAAAAAATATAATATAAAATTAATAATAATAATAATAATGATGATGATAAATGATAAATATAATAATAATAATAATATGATAATATAAAAATATTTCGAATTATTTGATCGATGAAAAAAAGCGCGCTTCGCTCGACGCGTAAATTCCTCTGTTCTGATTAGTCGATCGAGTGCTTCCTCTGATTGGTTGATCGAACGATTACTCCGACGAGTACATTTTCGAACGTGACCCATGTGTGAAGTGCATTCTGAACGTTCGTTGATGGCAGCTTGTAAACGGTCGCACGTTCGTTGATGATATACACTTAATTGTAGTATTTTATTTCTGTACTCGTAGTTTCTTCCGCGCTATTTAACCGCGGATTCTCCAATTTCGTTGTCTCTCATATGACATTCGGATTTGGTGCGTGCGCAATTTTATCGCGAGACCGTAGCAACGGTTATTCACGTCTCCCCGTAGGATCACACACTATCGAAGAGGATGCCGAAGAGGAAGCATCAGGCACTCATCGACTCCGACAGCAGTGGAAGTGCGTCGGAGAGTGGCTCTGACTTGGATAATGTAAAAATTGAACCTTCTTAGCATGAGAGTTTCATCCATTCATATGTCACTACAAGAATTTTCATCTACTTTTTACAATAGGCGCCTTCAGCAATCGTTCATTTTTAACATGCATTGCACGACAAATCTTAAAATAATTTTACATAATGTATGGTAATATCTCTATTATACGAATACATTTTAAAATTAAGCGATATGCAAATAATGTTTGTAACATGTGTCATAGTTTGTTGATATAAAAGAAGAAAAGTATGACATGTTATTGCAATAAAAATGTGTAATTTTTTTATGGATAGACACAAGCACAAAATTGGAGACAACTATCATTAAAACATTATTGTTTTTTTAATGATTTTGTTTATAATAATTTGTAATTGAGTGTACATCATGTTTTCATATCAATTTTATATCAGGATCTATTATCACTGGCAAAAAAGAAGAAGGGAAAGTCCCAAGATGATTCACAATCAAATGAAGATAATGGATCTGTTAAAAAAGATACCAAGCATGATTCAGATACATCAGATTCCGACAGTAACTGGAACAACAAGAGTGGAAAAACAAAAAAGAAGAAAGTGTCAAAACGAAGTAAACGAAAGATGACAAAGTCTAGCACCGAAGACAGTGCCAGTGAGAAAGAAGCAGCGAAGCAACATTCGGAGCCAGAAGAAGGTATTGAAAAATTAAATCTATTTTATAAATGTATTTTTATTTTAACTTGTAAGAGTTTTGTTATAATTAACAACTGTTTTGTCATAATAGGTGAGGTATCAGATTCTGATGTAAGTGTTTCCGACTCTAGCCAAGAAGAATTTAATGATGGGTATGATGACAAACTCATGGGAGATGCAGAGGATCAAGCCAGACTTGCTCAAATGACTGAAAAGGAGCGTGAACAGGAAATTTTTAAGCGAATTGAACAACGTGAAATTATGAAGACAAGATTTGAAATTGAGAAGAAACTAAGAATGGCAAAGAAACAAGAATTGAGAAAGCAAAAGGAATCAAAAAAGAAAGAAAAGGGTGGCGAAGAAAAACAAAAATTAGACAGGGCACCAGATCCTAAAGAAAGAAGTAAAGATCGTAAAAAGACAATAGAAGAAAAGCAAGATAAAAAATTCCATGCAATGTCATTGCTTAAAGCCAGACGCGAAGAAAAGAAAGAACGAGGTAATGTATCTTGCACAGTATTTATTTTTTTTAAACTTACTCTTTTCTAATGCTCTTTTTTCTTTGATTAGAGGAAAAAGAAAAACAGAGAATAGAACAGCAGCAACAACAATCAAAGGATATAGAGGAAGAAGAATTGGAGAATGATCATAAAGGAAACAAAACGAAACTTAAAGCATCCGATATATATTCCGATGACAGTGGCTCATCAGACAGTGGAGAGGAGGAAGAAGAAGTAACTAAACCTACATCTCAGCGCAGATCGTCTTCGAGTGAAAGTCGTGATTCGGATTCTGATAATGATAAAAAGTAAGTTGTTTATTTATTTTACATGCAAGATTCTTGTATCTTTCTTGAGTTATATTTTATATTCGATATCATTTTTCAGATCAATTACTAGTAACAAAACCAGACCGAAGAAACCAGTATATATCAGTACTAAAGATGACTTAAACAAGATTCGATTGTCTCGTCATAAAATGGAGAGATTCGTTCATTTACCTTTCTTTGACAGAGTGGTGCAAGGTTGTTTTGTCAGGATTGGAATCGGTAATAATAATGGTAAACCTGTCTATAGAGTAGCGGAGATAAGCGGTGTATGCGAGACAGGAAAGATTTATCAACTCGGCGGCACAAGGACGAATAAGGGATTGAAATTACGTCATGGTGTGCAGGAACGTGTATTCAGGTTAGAATTCGTCTCCAATCAAGAATTCACAGATTCGGAGTTCTTCAAGTGGAAGGAAACGTGCGCGCTGCAAGGAATTTCCGTGCCAACATTCGACGAAGTAGAGCAGAAATTAAAAGATATTAATGAAGCATTGCTATATGAATATAAGGAAGAGGATATAGAGAAGATTGTCCGAGAAAAGGAGAGATTCAAGCAAACACCCTATAATTATGCTATGAAGAAAGCTCAACTCATGAGAGAACGCGACGCAGCTAATTGCAGAGGAGACGACGAGACTGCTAGTCGTCTTAATCAAGAATTAAGTGAATTAGAAGAACGTGCATCAGAACTGGATAAGATGCGTACAGCAACAATTTCCAGTATATCGTATATAAATGATCGCAACAGAAAGAAAAATGTTGAAGAAGCTGAGAAAGCTATAATGGTAATTTTTAGGATATATTATGTCTATTTTACGTGTTATTTTTCGCTATAATACGCTATAATTAGCTACAGTAATTTTAATTAAATAGAAATTATTGTATACACACAGGAAGAGCTAAAGGCTAACAAAGGTAAAAAGGTCGACGACCCATTCACCAGGCGAAGTACTAAGCCAAGGATGGTATATAAACCAGATGATGAATCTGATGTGGTGAATGCAGTCCCAATAAATGACAAATCAAGTCCTCATCCGACTATAGACTCGGTATCATCTGCTAACGATAAAGAAAATGGACAGGACTCTAAAAAGAAGCAAAGCACAGAAGACCTGTTTAACGCCCATGATTTCGACATAACAATCGATTTGGAAGTTCCTATTCCAAGTAAGTTTTCACATCGTAAGAAAAGTATTATTTTTTAATTATAAACTTTTATTCAATAATTAATTAACAAAAAGGGATCGTGTCACTGAGAAGAGTACAATTGATATATTTATATATATATATATATATATCTCAATGTATAATTTTATTTCTAGATAATCCTGTTAGTGTTTTACCGAAGCCTATTAACAACATCAAGGACACAGGACCTCGTCGATCGTTAAATTTAGAAGATTATAAAAAGAAACGCGGTCTCATCTAACAGTTCATACGTTTTAGACATCGTAAAAACATAAGATTAAGTTGGCGAGGTTGTCTTGTAATAATTAAAGAATTTAACTTCGCTTATCAAATGTTCTGGTTAATAATGAGAACGAAGATATGTTCTTATAATGATTGACTGAGAAACTAGATTATTTATATAAAGCACAGCATAGTATATTATATACTATATTACTATAGCGCGATTCTATCTGTTTAATACATTGAGTATTGGTGATGGTTTGCGAATTTCATACAAAAAGTTAGTTTCAATAGCTGTATTATAGTTATGTAACAAATAAAGAAACGTTAAAACCAAAAAACAAATCGATACCTGATAGATTTCAGATAGTTTCTTATAATTTTGCATCACATAGGCTAATGTTTATATTTATGTATGACATAAAAAACGTCGGTATCATTTGTTCATTATACCATCATAAACACTCAATGTATTAAAGATTTTTCCAACTGAAAAAGGTTCCAATGCTATAAGCGGTTCCTACTGTGTACTCTAAATCAATGATATTGCGATTTGTGCATGAAAAATAGTTTAGCCAAGTAATGATTAGAACTGTTTTTTTGATAGTTGCAGTACTTAAAGGTGATAGCAGATATACTGAGAAGAATGCGATTTTACGCTTTGTCTTACATGTTCCAATATCATCCATATATTTAAATAGAAAAAGAAAGAGAAAAAAAACATAAAAGAAATAAAGGTATGTACCTAATGATAAAATGAATTTGCCAAACTTCTTACAAAATTGTTTGTATGAAAAATGATTACAATGACAGTTATTAATGGCGCACAAGACAATTTTATTTTATACATGAAATAAGTATACTCTCATCAAATGATATAAGTTATCAGGAAATGAAACGTGTGTATAATTAATGTAGATAACAATGCTCCATCTCTTTTGCAAACATCAGTTACATTTACATCTCAATTGCATATATTCTATACATACTAATACTTGAAAGATATAGTTTTCTTATGAAAATTATTTTTATTTTAATATTTGTCACAATATATAACTTTAATATCTTTTTTTATTGAAAAATAATATGTGTAAATATCCGAAAGCTTTCATACAAGTTATGATTTTTATCGTTTTGAACTCTAGGCATTATAACTATAGTAGTATAACTAGTTAAAATAGGTTATTATATATTATAATTAGTATAATCTATTAATTACTTATTTTTTTATGAATTTAATATCATCGACAAAAATTACTTTGATCATACATTACGAATCGTAATTATATATACGACCATGACGTATAGGAAGTATGTGCTACAAAGTTATATATTGTAATTTACAGAACAAGAAAAAAATTTTGTTGCTTTTACGTTTCGTTTTTCGAAATTGTATATACATATTAGTACATTTAGAAATATTTGTATTTAAACGTAGATAAGAAATTTTATTGAAAAGGGAGGGAAAGCAAACCGTTTTTTTATTTATTTGATAATTGCTTGTCTGATTGAGAAAAATCTTGAAGGGTATAATCATATAATCAATGTCGAATATTTTGTGATTATAAAAAAACAATCTATATATTTGTGTAATATATTGTTTGTATGAAATATTTATGAAGCAATTATATAGAGTGCTGAATATGCTAAGATGACAGGCGTAACGTTTGTAATACTCAAATGAGTGATAAGGAATATAAATTGCAATTGTGTAATGTAAATTAAGCTCTTACATATATTATATTTTTAGTAATATACCGGATAAATATGAATATAGAATGCAATATTTGCTAGTTTGTATCAATAGCTTTTTAATCGATGATATGTCATGAATGTTTAAAAAAAATAGACTTTATATTATATTTAATTATGTTTCCTTTATATTATTGTAATACGTTTTATCATAGAAACATGCGCAAAAGTCTGCAACTATATTGGCAATATCATACCGTAAATCGAAATTATGTAGAAATGTATTATGTTTGCCTAGAAAACAATTTTTTTATAGCGAATATGTATAACGTCGATCTTACATGTACAAAGATTATTGTAAACTGTATAATAACTAACAGTATTAAGAAAAATATATACATATATAGAACTCTTTCTGCGCGCGTGCGTGTGATAGATAACTTGCATTCTTCATTTGTATTAGACATATAATTACATTCTATTATAGTAAATATGTGCTATTGTATTTGACGTAGAAGATTTTACAACATTTTCTCGTTATATAATTATTATAAAATTTTATGCATGCTGCTGATGCGATCTACTTTAAGACAATGTTTAGTTATAATAATATGAAATTTTAAAAGGCGCGAAAAATTTGTTCCGTCGTCGTGGGGCGCCGAGATGTCTCGACACCGCTTTTCGCGATCCGGCTTTACCGATCGAGAGAAAGAGAGAGAGCGCGAGGAAAATTCGCGTGAAGCTCCGCGCGCAGTCGCGACGCGTATGCGCGCGACAGATCGTTCGCTCGCACGTCGCTGCCCATATAAGGCAATTTCCCTACGTCCCTGACGGCGATTGGACCGCGCGACTCGGCACGTCCCGCGTCAATGACCAATTCCTCCCGAAACCTCTCCTCCGCGCGCGATTCCCACGCGAATCGATCTCGCGCGGTAGATACGATAACGCCGGACCGGTCTTATCGATCCCTCGTTATTACATTCGCGGCGATTTCATTCCTAAAACACGCGTACGCCGTCATCTTATCGCGCCCCACGACGGCGCTGACGTCATCGCGCGGGAGAAGCGCGACGATCCGTTCGACTAATTTTATTTATTCGTCCGCGCGTCGCGCTGCGCGGGAAAACGCGTGTTCGAACAATAAAGAAGATTCGCGCGAGCAAAGTATTATTTGTTTTCTTTCGTTTTCGTAATTTTTAACGCAACCGCGAATTTTGGACGCCGCGCGCGAACAGGGCGCGGGTAACTCGGCTCGGACCAATCAGCGTCGAGCTGCGCGCGCACGCGTAGGGATACAGGATTCGGCGAGACGGAGAGAGAGAAAGAGAAAGAGCCGAGCCGGTCGCGAGAGAGGAGCCTCCCTTCCCGTTTCGCCAGCCGCGCGACCCCTTCGTACTCGACTACGGACACCGCGCCGCTCTGCTATCCCAGTGTTTCGCCACGGCCGAAGTACTCCGGGAAAGTGTCGAGTTGTAAAACGAGTGCTCGTTCACGTGACTCTTCTGCCCACCGGCTGCACGGAGCTCTTCCTACGGAAAAATGGTAAATATTCCACCAGGGGGTCGAGGCGCAGTAATTCGGAAGGTAGAGAGAGACGGAGAGAAAGACCTTCTCTCTTCCTACATCATTTCCATGAAACGGCGGTGCCGACGCGCGACTCGGGCGAGGCCGCCCGGCGTTACACGACCAGGCTTTTTTTTGTGGTTATGGCCGCGAGCGGACGCGCCGGTCGGTCGGCCATTTCTATCTTTCTTTCGGTGCCTGCGGTTAGCTTCCGTTTGCCGGATAACGCCGGCCTCTCCTTCCTTTCTTTCTTCCTTCCTTCGACCGGAAGAATTTTCGGCATTCGTGGCGTATTCTCCTCTCTCTCCTCCCGCTACGCCGCGTGCGGATTCCGCGATCCTGACGGATGGTCGCTTTTTTCCAGGAAGCGTTATGATTCACTTCCACGCACCGAGACTTCCGAGAGCGCGTCATCGCTTGGAGATCGCCGTGAGATCGCGCTTTTCGTGAGAGTCTAGGTGCCTCCTTTTCTTTTTTTTTCTTTCCGTTCCTCTTCGGTCTCTCCCTCTCTCTCTCTCTCTTTTGTGTCGCCTCGTTTGCCTTTCCGAGCGACGACGGTGCCTTGCCGCAACCCGCCGATTGTAATCGGTGTAATTCCGACGCGACGTCGTTCAATCCTCTCGACGTACCTCGTATACGCCATGATCGGCGGTATTTACGCTTATTATCGTATCACGTGATAAAAAAAATTTTGTTCGGTTTTTTTTAACTATCGATTAAAGTGACTCTCTTTATCTCCTTTTTATTTCGTGATAAATTGTTCACATCTCAATTTATTCCGAGAATATATATATATATATATATATATATATATATATATATATATATATATATATGCTTCTATGTTTATCAAAATTATTCCAAGATTATTTTCGAACGTCGTGACCAAGATTGACTCGATAACACGACATAAAAGGTAATGACTTGCCGCGAAGGAATGCCGATAATTCGATTCGTCATAACTAAACATAATCATTAACACCGCGTTTGTTCCGACACAGACAATTGAAGCGACCAATCTGAGTATTTATCGTCTCTCCGTTCCATTATCTTTCTATTATCGCGGAAAAAAAAGGTTGTTAACGCGCCTGGTTTCGACCGGATATCTCGTCTGCGTGCGTCAATCTCGGATTAATGTTTATCGCCCGGTGTTGTATTATGAAGATGGGCTCGAATTTAAACCATTTTTATTTTATTTTTATTTCTAGATAAATTACGATAATTAAATTTGCTTTTGTATAATTCAGTTTCTCCTCGGTTTGTCATGCTTGAAAAAAATTCAGCGCACTTGAAAATTTTTTATAAAAGTCTCTTTGCTAAACGCCAAGATTTTTACTGTTTTGACATTTTCATTAACCGAGAAAGCGAATAATTAATGCATTGCGCAACAGGAACGTGAATGCGAACTGCTCGCTCATTTTGACAAACACTCACTAGACGCCATTCGACGAGTGACTACTGTACTGTATATACATATATATATGTATATATATATATATAGAGAGAGAGAGAGAGAGAAAGAGACAGAAAACTGTTGTAGATACTCCCCTCCAGCTATCAGCGTCGCTACTTGGTCCTATTGTAAGCACGTCATACATAAATTCCGGTTTGCATTTCAACTCTCCTGAAACGTTGGAACTTTTTCATTGAAAATGCATTTGAAAGCGGTTTCTCTCTAAGAAACCTTATTTAAATAAGCAAACTTATTTAAATTTATTTTAATTATGCATTTTTTAAGAAAAAAATTAAGTCTTATGCTCTAGAATTTAGATAATAAATTTTCGACGAAATTTTTCACGAGTGTGAAGAAAAGTTGTAAAACAGCTGATTTCGAGCATTCGCCATCTGTCATTTTCGTTCGTTCGCTCGCGTAAAAAAAGAAGCGTTACGCTTTATTTATCTCGGTCAGCGTTTTAAATTTCGTTACCTACTATTTCTACCATTTGGCTCTATTTGTTTCTGTTCCGATATTTTGATAAAAATTTCACATATTATTTTGATTGTTCCCCCAAGTTTATCACAAAAAAATTCACAACGATGAGATAATATTAATTTCCATCGACAGCAAGAAATTAAATCTATTCTCAATTATTGCATCATATTGCATTTGCTGCATGAAATGAATAGAGAGAATGAGAGATTTGCAGATATCAGTTTCTATTATCGCACCACCATATTAAATTTTATCGTCTTATATTACTATAATCTACCTTTGAATCACATCGAGATCTATGAAAGATATTGCAAATTGCATTCAGATCTTATTAAACAGATTTAGTTTAACTGATCTTTATTTGCAATATTTTAATATATGTATAAACTAGTATATATTATAAAAAATATGGTACGATTACACAAAGACAATTATTCGGCAATAACTCTATTAGTGATAATATTACAAGTTTTTTTTATTATTAAGTAATATTTATACGCGATATGTTATTGCGTTGGAAATTATTTTCTCAGTGCTAATAAATATTTGTTATTTCGATATTAAATTATCTACAACATTGATCGAGCTATTCTCTCGCATGTTTCTCTGTAAAATCAGATGTAGTAACCGTAACTGATGTAATGATAGAATAAAAGGAAAAAAATGGAAAGAGAAGTCAGCGCAAAATGGCAAAATAACAAGACGACCGACGATAATGGAACATCTTACTTTATGTATATTTGCGAAAGCCGCAATATCGCGAATAAATACGGCGATGGTCACATTCCTTTATCAGAACCACTTGCGGTTCGCACGGTGTATAAATAAAACCACGACTCGCGCGCTATCGGATCACCGTCACGACTATGCGATCCCCCGTCCGTGCGATTAAGCACGACCTTAACCCTCTCGCAAATGTGCATCCTTTTGTCGACGCCGATCCTCCTCCGTAAGAATTTACATGTTCACGGAGCGATGACGCTGTGGCATCGTATAACGTGTAACGTGGTGAATGTCAAGCGATTTTCTATTGTATTTTCCGAACAAATGCAATTTATCGTGACAAACACGTTCTCTTTATATCGAAATAAACTCTCTTTATATAAAATCTTATAGCAAACGATTTGTTAAGAAACGCGTTTACAAAAAGCTTTACGAAATTTATATAAAGTTAAATTATATGAAAAATATATAGTGTATGTATACGAGATAACGATTTAAATTCGCATAAAGATTTATATTATAAATATAAATTTATATTACAAATTAAATGTTAAATAATAAATTATTAAAATTATAATATTATATAATTAAGTATAAATATCTAAATTTGTTTTATATATTAATACTTGATCTTTTTTTTTTTAATTAGCCAGGACACTTTGGCGCGGAAAGGAGAAGGATCGGCTCTTTTTTTTCAAAACTGTCCCCTTTTCCGATCTGCTAACTCCCCTTTAGTGTGTCCCCTCGTTCTTTGCTGCGCCTCGAAGATGACAGTGAACTAGAAAGAAGAGAGCGATGCGCGGAGAGCGGTCTGTCGTACAGCGAAGAAGAGAGAGGGAAAAATTCAATGAGCCTGTAAGAAGGAGGTCGGTTATTTTCTTGCGGGCTCCCAGGGACTCTCGAAGTTCACTGACGTCTTTTACGTCCGCGAGCGTGGCGGTTAATTAACTTCTCGCCTTTATGGACGGTCTTTCGCGGAAAGTAGTAGTATTTATCGCGTCGTTCCTTGAAATGACGCGCGACGTTGAACATTTATCGGCGAAAGATTTATTTTTGAACAATTTTTTACACGACAAGTAATCGTTGAATCGATCAGTTTTGTTAATTTTTATTTTAATTACTTTGCTAATTTTTCCCTCACTCTCGTAGACGCAACACACATTTTCTCAAATTCAGAAGGGATGTAGATTCATTCTTCGAGACGCTCTAAAGTCCTCAGGTCAGCTAGGGATGAATCATGTTCCGTGTGACCTTGTGTGCGGCCTGAGAGGGGTACAACACGCCCCAGAAGAGGGAGTTGCTCCCCCGTCATCATCCCTTTAACCGGCAACCCTTGTCGCCGCCCCGTTAGGATATCGACCGAAGAATTGCATCCTCCGCGTTCGCTGGCTGCTCTCCAACAGTCGCGTTTCTCGCTTCCTCGAAACGCGATTCGAATCCTTTAATGGTGTAGAACGAGCGACGATGCATTAATATTCAGTATCGGCTGTATGTATTGATGACGAAGCCGAATATCACTCGACAATTAAGTCAGGAAACACCTTAAACAAATTATAACTGCGTTTAAGCATAAATCTTTTTACAAATTTTATTTTTAAATATAAAATAATTTTTTATTAATCTACAGACAGATGCAATATTCTCCAGAAAATATATAGATGTCATCCATATAATGTAACAGTCCAGGTCCAAGTGATGTATCAATCTCTCGAGTACCAATTTCATTTTCATGCATTTTCTGGAAAAGCAATCTGTGCTGAAATAATAAATTCGATTAATAAAAAACCTGAAGGAATACTCTATATTTTTTAAATAAAAATCACAGAATAGAATAAGGGCTGAGAGTCGGTTATTATGGCCACAAATTATTATTTATTACAATAAAGATATTATTACACAAACGTTTCGGTCTTATTTAGACCATCTTCAGTGTAAAATTAATATTGATACAATGAATAAAATGAATAAAAGACGCATATTACAACAAAATTCGCATACGAAAATTATTTTTTTATTACTTCCGGCCAAATTAATGACAAAAAATGCAGAGTCATGGGATATAATCGGTAACCGATTTGACTAGTTGACAATAAGCACGAATTATAACCATGACTCTGCACTTTTTATTCTCTTAATTTTTGTCGTTAATTCGGCCGGAAGTAATCAAAAAATAATTTTCGTACAAGCTATTTGCGTATGCGAATTTTATTGTAATATGCGTTTTTTTATTCATTGTATCAATATTAATTTTAGACTGAAGATGGTCTAAGTAAGAACGTTTGTGTAATATCTTTATTGTAATAAATAATAATTTTTGGCTATAATAACCGGTTTTGGCTCACAGCCCTTATTTTATTTTGATTTATTAATCTTGCGAGCCTTCTGATTTAATTTAATAAAAATAATTTTCAACGCTGGATATATTTTTTGTATAAAAGTTGAATAATCACAAATGTATTTAATTTCATGTATCTGGAAAAGCAATCTGTGCAGAGATAAGATTAGATTAATAAAAAAAACTGAAGGATATTACTCTATATTTGAAAATAAAAGTGACTTTCAATGTTGGAAACATTTTTTATACGAGTTATAAGAGTCGAATAATCACGAATGTACCCTCGCTCTATGGAGGATAGATACTCTATACCTTATTACCGATTATAGCATTACATCAATTTCTGCGGCGCGAAGAGAGGAAAGACGATCGGCTAAGAGAGTTCGTAGCGCGCGGCACGTGCCCGAGAGCCAGGGGATAACTTTAGAAGTGGATCGCCGGATCTCTTTTAGCATCGCGATTCGCGCGTGGGAAGAATTTATTTCGGTAGCGAGTGTCCCGCGTATTTTGTCCTCGCGAAATAAGCTTAAACGGCCCGACTGACAGGGCTGTGAATGCCGGCGTATCGCATCGATGCGTGAAATACGTCCTGCTGTCGATCAATCCGGTTATCTGTGGCGTGATACTATCAGCCGAAACTAACAGTTGTGCTGAAATTCATTTTTATGTGTAGCGTCGTATGTCAAATAGACGTTGAGGAATAAATTCGCGGCTTTTATATATTCAGCCCTCGTTTCGAGCAAATCTGGAATAAGACAAGATATTAAATTCTCTAAGATTTCTTCCTCAAGAAAAGTCTCATAAAACACAAGCAATATGAATGTTAACATTAGCAGTCCTTTTGGAAATCTTATAGACTAAGAACCGATGTAAACTAATCACTCAATCTCGTTTTTCTCTGAACACCTGCAATAATTAATGCCCATTCATATTTTTTCTAGGCATCTGGAGTAACAGTCGCAGACGTTTGCAAGACAACGTACGAAGAGATAAAGAAAGACAAAAAGCACCGATATGTGATCTTCTATATCAAAGACGAAAGACAGATAGATGTCGAAGTCATCGGACCTCGCGATGCGGCTTATGACGCCTTCCTCGAAGATCTGCAGAAGGGTGGCAGCGGAGAGTGCCGTTACGGCCTGTTCGATTTTGAATATACTCATCAATGTCAGGGTACTTCCGAGGTAATTATACCATGAATAATAGATTTTATTCTCTACAATACACTTTTTAAAGGTATATAGGATAGGGAGTCTAAAGAAAATCAAGCGGAAATATCCGTTATCTGTTTTCCAATTTTCAAGTCTTAATTCTCTTGGAAATAAAGCGTCGTACAAAAAAATTTTATTCGACTTATTTTCAAATGAAGAATCACTTGTCAATTATACGTTTTCTGATTCTGCATAATAAATATTTTTCGAAATATTAATTTTGTACTATTTTTCTCTTACAGGCATCCAAGAAACAGAAATTGTTCTTAATGTCGTGGTGTCCCGACACAGCCAAGGTCAAGAAGAAGATGTTGTACTCCAGTTCCTTTGACGCTCTGAAAAAGTCGTTGGTCGGTGTGCAAAAGTACATACAGGCGACGGATCTATCGGAGGCCTCCGAAGAGGCTGTCGAGGAGAAACTTCGAGCTACCGACAGGAATTAGGAGTATTCCAATAAATCCCAAAACCTATTACGAGATAAGAGGAAGAAAATCAAGTGGAATACGATACATTGTGAATTAACTTCCCAAAAACAAACAAAAAGAAAAAAAAAGATAAACAGTAATGCTCTATACTGTCGTTGCATCGAGGGTTCACATTTTTACACATTTTTCACTTTTAAAGGAGACCGATTATCAAGTATTTTGCGCTACATATGTTAGTCACCAGGGGAACGTAAGCATTATTATTAGCAAAAAAAAATGAACAGGAATGAGAAAAGAAGGATAAACAAGGGAATTATCCCCTTTCATACCGCGGACGTTGTGTGAATCTGTCTGATATAATATTAATATTATATACTATTATTATTATAATTATAAGATAATTGTACAAGAATACAAAACAATTTACAACCAGTCAAGCAGTAAGAATGAAATTATTATACTTTTTTTCTCACAGACTGTATAACATTTAAATTAAATTCATTTCATTATGACTCCTCGCTATGTCCTGTTAGTAAAACCCATGACATTTCCAATATATTTCCGCACAAAACCGAAACAAACTGGAAAAATGTGATAAATAAACTTTGAAAAAAATTAATGTAGATTTCAATCTTTTTATAACGTTAACCGGACAGAATTGATATTGATTTATTAGAGCAGATTCTGCACAAGGTAAAGTTCTTCTAACTATTCGACTGACGGTACGACTTGTTCTTCAAATGGTAAAAACAAATTCCTTTCTGAAATATGTGACATAGAATTTACTGACACACTATATTTGCAAATGTTACTTAAAATTTAAAATCCTGTTACTAAATGTTTAATTTGTGCGAATTGCTTTAATCTCAAATTAATCGCGATTAAACTTTTCAAGGTAAAATAAAAAAAGAGATAAAAAAATGTATGTGTTGAATATTTTTACATATATATCATCTTTGAAAGTGCAAAATCATAAATGCTTATGAAGAGCAATATTTTTGTTAATGAAAATGATTAATCGATGTGCGATTGACAATGGCAATTTTAACAAATATAATCACATAAATTACAGCAGTCCGTTTCATATATATTTTTTCGCATTTTGTACAAATATTTAAAATCTGCTGTCGAATATTGTGATTAAAGTACATATCATACTTAACATCAACGATAATGTTTTCACTCGATGATACATTGATCCATTTGCATCCGCTGCCAAAGGATAATGCTGCGACATCGATACGAACGGTATGCCTATAAACAAACATCGAGACTATGTATCAAAACTTATTTTATTTCTCTTTCTTTGTTATTATTATCTTAAGAAACAAACAATTTTTAGCGCTAAAAAGATTTAAATGAAATCGTTATATTCACCTGCTATCCTGTTCTGCTCCAGATCGCCATCAGTCTCAGCGAAATTTTCGCTGGAATCGATGGCTGCAAAATGAGGCGCGATATATTTTCACGTGCGATCCGAGTTTCTTCATCGTGATTGATGCATCGTGCACGAAAGAGAGAAAGAGAGCGAGAAAGAAATAGCGACTTATCTTTATTACTTACAAGCTCCTTCGGTGTGGAAGCGCAGTATCTCTGAGGGATGGCTCCATCCGTAACGATTTCTGGACAAAACGACTGCCTCGTAATGGGTCGCTACGTCCAGGCCTGTCAGATTGAAGGAACGAACATGCACCGAGCTGACAGCGTCGCTGTTACCGGGTATATACAATTTGTGCCACTCGCCGCCACTATCCTTCTGCGATCACATAAAAATAGTTCTGGTAACATTCGGTTGCTGAAATCGGGTTACTTTCAAGTCAAGGAAACGTAACGTTGAGAATACCCTGTCGAATTTATTATTTTAAACTGATGTAGGTCGCAATTATTATAACAGATTTTTTAATTAAGAAAGAAAATTATCTCCCCCTCGGTGGGGTTCATTATAAGGAAGCATGCAATCCCGAACATCTTTTTTATAATGTTCCGACATTGTATTTTTCTTTCCTCTTTGCCCTTTATTTTTGCTCATCTTATCGCAAGACCGAAATAAAAAAACTACAGATTTCAGGATCGATATCGTTACGTGATGGAAGATAGTAATAAAATAATGCCATCACAAGACGTTGCCTTTCATTCAATTATTCCGTCCTTGCATGTACGGCAGCCATCAAAATTCGTAACGTGAGCGACGCACGAATCCGAGAAATGGATCCCATGTCGCCTCATTTCGAAGAGAGACGAAACGCGACCGGGATCTCCTCGATTCATCTTATCCCGAGATTCTCTCGAGATTTCCACGCGAAAAGGTTGCGTCGTTTTTAATTCAGGATTTCGAGCTAATTTTAAAATAAAAACTCACCTTGTATTTACGAAACCAAAACTGATATTCGATGATGGAACTGTAACTGTCGACCTCCCAGATAAAATTATAAGATGTGCTGGATGTGCAGCGCGATTCTTTCTTGAAGATCGCTGGATTCGCGATCTCCGATAGTTCGACGATCTTTTCGGTGATTCCCAGAGAATTTGATGCTCTGCAGAGATATAAACCGTAATCGCTTATCTTTACATTTCTTATCAATATATTGTGATCGTTCCCATCGTTATGTTTTACTATTCGCGATGTGTACTTTACTGTTTCGTTTTTGAAATACCATTCAACCTGAAAAAATATTGAAAAATTAATGAGAAAATATGTAATTAAGTATATGCATGCACATGATTGTAACTTATAAAATATATTTAATTTTTATTAATCATTATTTTTCAAGGAGATGTCAAAAAGGAGGTTGATCTCGTGGGACCGATTGTCGAATGCTGTGATAATATAATTTTTCTGGTTCATTCTTTTCTCTTCTTTTTGCGAGAAAATAAAAAAGAACCGTAAGTCATGTTCCCCACGAATCGATTTGTCACGTGCGACTGGCTTTAAGGGATCATGGTGAGAAATTACTCGGCAGGCGGGGTGGTTTCATTTAGTTACCGAGCATGAAGAACTCGTTGAAATCTAAAAGACGATTCCCAGGACGTACGTCCTGGAAAAATATTTCGTATCTGTACCTGAGGTCGAAGTCGTACATAATATCACTCCGTTATCATACGAAAGAGAGAGAGAGAGACAAAAAATTTTAATTAATATTCAAGCTTGAAGAGCTCTTGTTTTCAGAGTGCGCGGAATTTATTTTTACCATATGCGCAGGACTCTCTTATATATTGCGCAGATCCCTTTTTCATCTCTCAAAGTAGTTTAGGGCTTAATGAGAGTGCCGAGATTATTCGACCGAAACGGGTAAATCGCGCGGACAGAATTTTTTATCGGCCTTGTGATACGCGTGAAGGAGGGCGAATCATCTTTTACTTATTTTCGCAGAAATAAAAATCCTTTTGCGCGCGCGCGCGTGCGAACATAATCTCTCGTTTCATCTATTTTATTCCAATTCTCGTCTCCTATTTAAGAGCTGCGTTTCAAAAGCGACAAAACACACACAAACACAAAGAGCAGAGTCGCTCGCGCGTAGGTGTCTCTGGAATAAAGCCGTTCTTCCGCGCTTGCAAAGTCAATTAAAAGTCCGACTGCGAGTCGTCGAGCATACTCGCGCAAGCTGTCGCGTTATTCGTTGTTCGAACTGTTAATTAACGCGACGACAGGCTTTCGGAGAAGAAGGAGAGGTATTAGTCTTGCACCTTTGCTTCAGGCCAGGCGGTCACCGTGCAATCCAGCTGTACTCGTATTCCCGGATATGCGTGCATCCAGGATTTCCTTACGTAGATCTCCGGCTTGTCTGCAAAACGATTTCCGCATATATTTAATACAGCATATATTAAGAAAGAAAAGTAGACATTTAACGTTTCACTATCTGATTCGCTCTCGAGCTAATTATCATTGAATTGTTCAATCAAAAAATTATATTTCGAGACATGTTTTCGAAATGCGCAAACAAGACCTGTTTTGATATCGCGAAAGTGGGTTGTTAATGCGGGTCACGAATCATCGTGGTCGATTAAACGTCTGCAAAACACTCGCAGCAAGTGTAGGTATGTATGTACGTATGAGCATAATTGACTCGCTCATGCGTTTGATTGGAATACCAAAGGAGCAATCTGTAGCAATTTCTTAACTTAATTACGCGTAACTATGCAGCAATGCATATATTGGATTATAGCACACTTGATTTACATGATCATTTTAAATTGGAATTAAAGTTATAACTAAAATAATATATGCACATTTGACGCAATTCTGCTACTATTACAATTACGAAATGAATAAGCGGAAAGAATTTAAAAATTATAAAAGGCTCAAGAAGACATGAGATATATGAATGTCGACACGTTGACGTACACCTAATACGTAGATCTATATGCGCCATGGCGGGATCACCGACATCATTAGTGGCGACGCAGGTATACCTGCCGGAAAGATTCCGATTTTCAGCTTGAAAACTCAATTGCGGTCTGACATCCACTAATGGGATTTCTTCGTCCTGGAAAGAAGAGAAGAAGAAGTTCCACACTGCTCTTTATCACCCGCGCACGGAACATACATGCAATCCACTTGAATTTAATTGACTTATTGTCCAATCGTGCGAAGCATCTCTACTTTTCGGCATGTTTTCATTCTCCTTTTCGTTCTCTCTCTATATATCTTTTAATTCTATCTACATCTTCGCTGCACTTTCGGTGCGAATCATCTAATATATATCATTGGTATATGCCGCTATGTCAAATAGACTAGGGAGGATATCGATTTACCTTCGTCCTCCAAGTTATGATAGGGGCCGGTACACCCTTCGCCACGCATTGCATGTACACCCTCTCTCCCAGATTAACCTCCAGCTCGCCGGACGCAGGTATAGTCTCCACGCTCGGTGGATCTGAACGAATAGAGCGAGAAAGGACAAATAGATTTTCCTATATATACAATATACAGGGTGTATTTAAATAGGTGTGAAAAATTTTACATGATTCTGTGTCGAAAATTAAGAGAGGTTTCTTATATAAACATATAATCTTATATCCCTCCCTGAGGAGTTACACTTTTCTATAAAGATGAGGGAGATACAAATTAAGTTTTTCGTTTTTTTCTCAAATATTAATAATCCTTTTTATTAGTGGAAAATATCCATCAAGTTTCATTTTTTAATCTGTCTAAAATTGGAGAAAAAAATAAACCTCCCTCTTATATCCTCCTTGAGGATCCTCCTTGAGGATATAGGAGTATATGTTCATATAAGAAACTCCCTTTATAAAGAATCATCTCCTAAAATCTGTCGCTTATTTAGACACACCCTGTAAATATGCATATATCAATCTTACGTTTACACATACTCGGTACGAAATTCAGAATCTTTGCTTGGACAGAGTTCGCGGATGAAGGCCCCAAGTGGGGAAACGATTTTCTCAGATAAACGCCGGAAGAAAGGTGGGATTGAACGCCCGATTTGGATTCGCAAATAACGGAAACACGAAATCCTTTCAACGCACCGATTCGCAGAGAGAAGAAAGAATTCTTTTGGGAGCCTCGCGCTCTCTTTAGAGAGACACGCTTATCTCGGCATACATCTCGCACACATATACTCACACATTACTTCGATCTCGTGTACTTGCGTAACGTGTCCCCAGGGAGACGGCCGGATCGCCTGGCACACATACTGGCCGCTATCCTCCCGTTGCACGTGCATCACCTGCAGGCTACCGTTCTTGAACAAGGTGATCCTTTCGGACGACGTGCGATTCTCTTCGAGGCTATCGGCCACAAAGCTGTTCTCTCGCCACCATCTTATCCTGGGTGGCGCGCCTACATTGGCAGAAATAACAAGCTTTTCTCTTCTTTTTCCTCATCCCTCCTTTGTCCTCCACATCTCGCTCGTTATCGGCGAAAAACCAACATTCGAAACTCGAAACAAGTAACACGGTTACTTATACTTACTTGCTAACGAGGGGTTGAAGAGAATTTCCGCGAAAACCTCGACGAGAAAGTGTGTTGCTCCTTTTGGAGCAACGAGATTCATTTCGCGCAGAAGAAAAAGAACAGAGACGCGTGCACGAACATAAATGAATGTCTTAATAAAATGATGCGCTTCAACAAGACTCATGATAAATCACTCGTAAGGTTCTCGAGGACAAGATGCGTAGCGGAGTAAGTGGACCGGAAATATTCCTCGTCTCCTCTGTGTGTTACTTTTATCCCGATTTGACACGCTCGTCTAGGTAGAAATAACGACTTTTCGAAAAAAACAAAATGATAAAAAACGATGTGTTTCGTTATCCGTGAAACTGAGATTCAAACGTGGGGTGAGTCGAGAAATTTTGCGAACGACAGTGATGATTCCACACCACTGTGCAGAGTTGACAAGAGACGAGAGAACTTCTAGGGCCAGATGGGGATCAGATATATCAATCATTTCAGACGAGAGAGAACAGAAAAACGCAGGAATCATCTCTCGAAATGGTAATAAATGACGTACCCTGATCTTCCACGTAGCAGGGCAGCAAAACTGTGTCATTCTCGTAGGTATTTATCGTCGTGGGATAGCTTTGGAAGGCGCGATTCGTCGTGGCATGCGTTCCTGTAATAAAGGCATATATATATAGATATATATTATATAATTATATATTGTATTATTTGATCTGTATTATATAATTATATGTATAATACAGATAAAGTTATATAGATGATCATCTAGATGAAATTTTAACATCATCTTATCTTTATATAGATGATAAAAATATATATTATCTATATTTGCGTCTCAGATTGAAAAAAATATAGTTATCTTTGCTTAACTGTCTAGAATAATGTTCAAGATAATTTTTGCTTTAGAGTCATACCTAACACATAAAAATACTTAATTTACAAAAATAAAAGTATATGAATATATTTTCATATCCCTTTTATAATTTACATTTTTTAATACCTGCGTTTACATAAGCGATTTAAAAAAATGATATTATCTGAATGTTATCTAGAATGAATCTCTACATAATTAATTTTTTTATCTAGATATATTTTAATTCAAAATCACCTTATCTAAGACAGATTTACATATTTTTGACCCAATCTTTATCTAGATAATTTAAAAATCTAAGCACAATACTGCATATATACCGCTGTTATACACAGGTAAATGTCAACGCAAATAGCGCGACATAATCGTAACGTAAACTAATCGCCGTTCAACGAGAAACATTGCTGTGGGCACCGCGGTGTCGCGAAATATTCCCTGTGTTTTTCCTCTTCATTTCTTCATTCCTCCCGCATTTTTCACTCGACATGAAAATGCTCGCGAATTATTCCACGTCACATGCGTGACCGCGCGAAATTTCTTCTCGCGCCTGCGAGTATATGCAAATAAGGTCCTCTCTTTTCTCGCGTGTGATCGATTACTGTGCGACGTTGTGCATAACGCATGTGGCACACAACTATATACCTTCCCTCGAGAACGGAAAAACAAAACTGCGCACAGGGCGACGATTATACCCTCGTCTGCTCACGCACTCGTGGAAATTCCGGGATCGATTGCCGAAGAGTCGCGTGACCGCCAAGAGCGAGCGATAAGATAGAATTTTATGTATACACCTCCGCGTCGAGCTGGTTTTGCTTCTTAAAGGGGATCGATTCGCACATACGGAAATACGGCTACAATTATGCCGCCTTATGTGAGGGAGATATTTCAGGCCGATTACGGCGCGGTAGGTGTTTCGATTACGAGAAACTAGGTTGCTCGTGGGGTATTCCTTCTTATCTCGCGACGATTATCTAAAGTGAGAAAACAATAAAACGAATCGATCATTCGTAAATGGTGCGCGAGGCCATTCTATGAGAGAGAAAAAAATGCTTTTAACAAATTAAATTTTTGTTATCTCCCTTGGAGAGATATCTAATATTTCCAATTAATATTTCTTTCTACGTAATATAAACTTGGACTGCGTAAATTCTGGTACGTATTTATAACAAGTTGTCAGTATCAACAAAAAAGTGATAAAGTAGTTGAAGTAAAAAATATAAGCGAAAAAACAGCGTGATCTAATTTCTTTCATTCGCTTCGCATGACATATGTATCTTTTTATTTTGATTCGGACATAAATATTGACCGCTTGTAAAAAATGATAAAACGCGACAGTCTCAAAGTTTTGTGATCAAGTTCCAGATTTCCGACAATTTTTCCTCTGGAAATCAATATCAATAATGTTATTTCCATTTTGAGATGATATGCATCTTACAGAGTCGCAATATGTATAAATTATTTACATCTATTTTTCTATTGCTTTATAATACATATATACATACAGAGAATTGTCTCTTAAAATTTATCCTGAAAATCATAGTAATCATGAGACAATAATGATATTGGAAAAATTTCTCATCAAGAATTCCTCTGATTAATATTTACTACGATATAAATATTAATATCTACCATAATAAGATATAAAATATGTTCGATTAATATTACTACGTACATATTATTTTTTATAGTAGTAAATATTAATCAGAAAAATTTTAATCTAAAATTCTTCCAATACCCAATAAAATTGTCCCACGATTACCATGATTTTCATGCAGGGTAAATTCTAAGAGAAAATTCCGTGTATAATACATTACCTATTATACAGATGTGAAATAAACAAAACATAATCCAAACAAAACGCAACATTTCTCTCGTAATTACACACGTAATTCTACCGATTAACATCCACACGGAAGAGATTTGTATTCGGAAATTACAACGGAAAAGAAAAAGTATATTCAGCTATTCTTCTCCCGCACGTGATCTCCTCGGTCTTTCACGAGAGACTGATCTTGCTTCAAGATGTGATTCGTGTCCCTACGATCTTACCACATACATTTATACACACATGTGCACACATACGTACATATACACATGTGCACACACATCATCTTTCGTAATTATGAGTCAGTTGTCCGTAGCTCAACTTGGACGGGTACTCATATTTGCACACAATCGACCAAAATCAGCCAACACCTCTGATTAATGAAATTTTATTCTGGTCTGATAAATGCCAGTTGAAATATTTGTATCGTTGTACTGCAATTAATTCATTTTTATAATTAAGCTAAAAAATTATTAATTATTATTTCTAAAGAATATAAGATATGCGAACGAATAAATTGCACGCGTTATACATGTGAATTAAATTTTCATTATATAATTCCATTATAGATATTTTTTTGAACGAAGCAATCGAAAAGATTCTTTGAAAAAAATGTCAAACGACGTTTTGGACTGGCTTGGTTTTCTCAGACGGAAAGCCGCGAATCGAATTGAGAACCACGTCTATTCTATTGCATAGTGGCTGTAGGGACAGAGGGTGTCCACCCACAAACACCAAAGGCATTCTTCTATAATTTGTTCAATTTACGTACGAACACGCACCGTGTATAGAACCATTCGCCGGAGTTATCCATTAGACCGTTAATCCAATAAACGATTCGCCGCTCTGACGTTTCTCAGATCATGCGACATCTTCCTTAGACGTTCCCTTCCCCGAATAACAGGAATATATTTTAAACAAATACACACGCAGAACAAAATAAAATATAAATCGCTTTAAATAATTCTATCTGTCTTTAATGTTTCAAGTTTCGATCGTTCCTATCATTATATAATTAATTTTATCTTAATAATTTCTGACGTCTAACAGCTGACGTTATAAGTATATAACTACCTTCGTGCAGAGAAATACTGCGCATTCTCTTTCCATTATAGCCCAGTTATTTTCTGAACAACCTATTTATCGTCGCAGACGTCGCACAAGTAGCAATAAAACGGTTAACATTTTATCGCTGGCTTTCAACTTTTTGTCGATTGTCGATAGGAGATATTTACAATTCAAAAATCGGTATACTTTATGCAATATTCTATGAAACTTTTCTGCATAAAAGAGCTGATCTTTTTAACGGGGATGTCTGCCACCTCGCACCTCAGATTTATTCGATCAGCTTTGACTTTTCCCATTTGCAAATCAGAGAAGAACCGAATGACGGCGTCGCCGTATAAATAATCGTATTATAATACATTAATGCGCTTGTATCATATAATACTACACGGAGAGAATTTTCTCTTAGAATTTACCCTGAAAATTATGGCAAGATTCGTCCATTTACTATTATAGATTACTATAGTTTCTAATTTAGAATATATCTAAAGTTTCTCTTTTTAATTATTAATATTTGTCACAATAAAAAATATTAATATGTAAATAGTAAAATTAATATCAAACATATTTTATATCTTATTGTTATAGATATTAATATTTTTATTGTGATAATATTAATCAGAGAAACTCTTAAATCTAAAATTCTCCCACGCGATTATAATGATTTTCAAGATAAATTCTAAGAAAAAATTCTCTCTGCGTATCACTGAAAAAAAGTTTGTTAAATTAACAAATATTTAGAGTTCAATAGTTCAAATGAATCATTTATTTGAAACAAATAAATATTTATTTGATTTAAGAGAATCCTTTTCAAAACAAATAAATATTTATTTGTTTCAAATAAATGATTCATATAAATGTATTGAACTAAATATTTGTTAATTTAACAAACTTTTTTCACACACAGTGTTATATATAAATAAATATATTCAAAATTATAGAAACTAGTAATCTAATTTAAATAATAAACGAACAAATCTTATATTGTCCAACTTATTACATATTATAAAAAAAAATATATATATATATGTTAATTTATTTGACACACTTTTCATGCGATGTATTATTTAGAGTGGATAGGATACCTCGCGTGCTTAATTAATGTTGAAAAAATATATAGGACGACATTGTATCGTATACATTGTCGATCCTTACGAATGCCCAGGTCTTTCAGTTTCAAGCCGGGACAAAGGACGAGAGAGAGAGGATCCAAGGGGATGAAGATGCCGCTAAAGGGGAAGGTAATCCTCCTCCTCGAACTATGCGCGCGCGTGGTCGTGCGAATCTATGTGAATATACTTAATCCAAGTCGAGACGAAGGCGCTCTAAAACGGTTCTCAATTATCTGATGCATCCATTAAAGCGCCAACGAAAATCCTCTTAAATGAATTTTTAAAGGAATCCTGCCAGAACGAAGCCAAGAGCTTTCGGCGAGATCTGAATCGTGACGGATAGTCGATATACATATATATATATATATATTTTTTTTTCGCTCGTCAGAGAGCCGTCTCTTGATTTGCGCTTATTTAACTTACGTCGCGGATACTTTCCAGTATCGAGCTGAAAAATTTTATCGTGATTTATTCGAGCAAAAAATCCCCGCAAAGTATATAGGATACGAAAGAATGGGTTCGGGATTTATAGAGTAGATAGTGCTCGACAAGTATAAAAAAAAACGTAAAAAAAACCCATTCGATGAACATTGAATCGAAAAATCAATCTTATCAGGATTTAAATAAGACCAAGCTCTCTTTGACTTTGATAAAGTAAGCGTTTGCGCTTGCTTTTAGTGATATGAATAACTGAAATTAGTGCACTTTCTTTATATGTATTTTTTATATCTTTCGGAATAATTAGTTAAATTTTTTGTACTCCTTGAGAAAAATAAAAGAGCGCCTCTTCCCACATCTTTCGAGGAACAATAAATGGAATGTATAATAAACAGGAGAGATAAAAGAGGAACGATGATCGTCAACAAGCTAATTTTTCCATCGTCATTCACACGAAGAAAGAAATTACGTGGCAGTCGCGTATTCACGCCGCACCAGCGAAAAAGTTGTGGCTTAATTGGCACTAATTTACCGAAGTACCGGTCACCGCTGTTCTCGCCTTCCTTCTCGGTTAAATTGTATTTACAAAGGTCTCGTAAGAGGATATCCACTACGCTCTTGAACGGAAGTGAAAGATCGCGGTTAGTACTTTTCTCGAAAACTATCTTTCGCGCCGAATATTGTGATCTCACTTTTTTGTTCATTCTTTTAGCTTGTTTGACGATCATCGTTCTCTTTTAGCTCCCCTGTTTATTATACATTCCATTTATTGTTCCTCGAAAGATGTGGGAAGAGGCGCTCTTTTATTTTTCTCAAGGAGTACAAAATAAAAAAATTAATAAAATCAAAATATAATGACATACAAACTTATTTTATACACATTTAGTAATTAGAAGAGTTATAAATCTAATCTAAGTTGTTGAAAAAAATGATCTCTCTTTACATATAGAACCATTAAATTTTTATACTTGATAAAATCATGAAATTTTTCCATAAATGAGACATTTCTGAAGTATTCGAGGATATTCTTTTTTATACATTTAGTAATTAGAAGAGTTATAAGTCTAATCTAAGTTGTTGAGAAAAATGATCTCTCTTTACATATAGAATCATCAAATTTTTATACTTGATAAAATCATGAAATTTTTCAATAAATGAGACATTTCTGAAGTATTCGAGGATATTCTTGATCTTGAAGCCCGGAGGGAGAGAGATATGACTTATTTGACGAGATAGGAGAGAAATTCGTCGCCGACATAAACATGAGACACGAGATCTTCGAATATATATCGGAGGGAGAGAATGATGATTAGTTCAGGACGTAATTTACGGTTGCACGATACGGGTTAGCGCGGGTCTTCCGGGAAATGTGGAGTAGATTAAGGGCAAAGGTATTGACCAACAGTTATGGTTATCTTTGGTAAGTTTAGCCCAGTTTCGGAGTTCGCTTAGACATTCGCCGGGATTGGATCGCGCGAATTCAAAGACGGAATTATCGAGCCTTTACTTCCGGGATAATACTGCAAATTACAAAGGCAATCTTCTGTTTATTGAGAGCGAGAGATTACCCGTGCAAACGATACAAGAACTACCCTTCACTCACTTTGAGAAGAGATACTCTTATCTGCATCTTTCTCTCATTCTTAAATCTACACGGAATTTTCTTTTGCAATTTATCTTGAAAATTACTTGGGATAATATGGTATTGAAAGAATTTTCCAAGAGTTTCTCTGATTAATATTTCTGCAATAAAAAATATTAATATCTACCACAATAAGATATCAAATGTGTTCGATTAATTTTAATAAAATTATGTTCATAATATTTTTTATTGTAAATATTAATCAGAGAAGCTCTTATAAAAAAATTTCTTAATATCATATTGTGTATCGCCATTTACGTTTATCGAATATAATCATATGAATGAAAAAAGACAAAATTATGCTCCCACCTATCAATCTTAGTACAGTCTTATCTGTATAAGAAAGTTGAGATTAAGGGGAAAATTCGGTTTACATTCGATTCATAGTTATTTATTTTTTTGTATATGAATTCTGTGCACGTGTCATAATTTGACAGTTGCAAACACACACACACACACATACAGACATATCGTGAAAGACAAATAGCTGTGAGTGGAATGATATCGAATCACCCTTTCTCCCCTAATATTGGCATTTCTCTTGTTCCGACTATTGACACGTATATCCTACGTTTATATATTCTTTTGTCGATGCTCGACGCAATTTGAGCGGCGGACGATTTTATCGTCTCAGGTCAAACTGGTAGTTTGGAATAATTGGTGGCGCATCGTAAATTGTGTTATATGGTATGTACTGCGGTGGACTGATCAAACCGCGTTAACCCCAAAATGCCGACTAACTCTGCGTTATACCAGAGTGTTACAGAGAGAGTGATTGCGTTTCATTATTTTCATTAAAGCTCGCGCTAACATCGTTGCCCCTAACAATATAAATTGCTGTATAAATTGCACACTCTCTCTCTCTCTCACTCTACTATTTTAACTTTTTTTTTTTTGCAAATAAAGAAAAACTTTTATAAACGCATATCAACAAAATGCAT